GGAGTAAAAATGGTAAAAAATAGCGTGACGTACTTTATGGACGGCCCCTACACTAAAAGCATCGTTGTACAGCTAATGGATAATGCCGTCCAGGGCGGACCCATATTTGTGCCATCCCTCTCTCATGGTGAAAAAAATGATAATCCCGGTGTTTGGTGGACTAGTTTCCTATACACCACCGACTGGTGCCAAATTTATTAAATTATTTGTACCAGTATCTCATTTTACACTAAATATGCCATAGCAGTGTTGTGCGGACCGGCAACCTTTGGCCCGAAGACCAGTGCCGGTCTGTGAATAGCACTTTGTGAAGTGAACCGCTGCTCTTGACGGTTTTGTTTCTTACAGTGGTTGGTCAATGGAAGAATGGTGGGATGAAAAGCTTAAAGCAGTAGAGAAACTCAAAAAGGAACTCAGGAAAATGTCCCAAGATGACGAAGAGGACAGAAGGCCCACTTTTAGTGTTACCCTGCAGGAGCGACTTCATGCAGCAGCCAAAATGGAACTGTCTTATGAGGAACCAACACCATCCTGGCCACGAAAGATTCTACGCAGAACGTGCAGTCTGCCAGCGACTGTTGAAACTCCCAGTCTAGAAAACGATATGAAAACTCAAGTGATAGGGCATTTAAACTGGACGCCTATAATCTTTAAGCAGCCCTCGATGAAGACACCACGGAAACCTCAAGCCCCGGCGAAATGTTTGACAACGATGCCTTATTTGCCAGTCATATTTCACTGGAAGGAGATGGAGATGAGCAAAGGTTATGAACTCAGTAGAACTGATAAGAAGCATAAGTGTGGCTACTTCCAGGGTTGACATTAGAAGGAGCTTTATACTAACATTTTAAGCTGGGCAAGAGAAACGTACTGAGTACAACTGAACATGGACAACTCATGGACTTGTGTTAACTAGAGGTAAAAAAAAAAAAAGTTACCCTACTTATTATTGGTTACAAAATATTACATTAATGTTAACTCCCCTCCCCCCCCCCCCCCCCTCTTTTCATTATAAAAAAATTGTAACATCTCCAACGAGAATTCGCAAGTAGAACCCCAATAAATGTTTATTAAATATTTAAGTATTTTGGCAGAGTTAGTGGCAGGCCTGACGCCATAATGACTAGTTCTGAAATAGCTGGTAATCTATATGTTAAATTAGTGGCTGGTAATGTGCGGCATTATTGTATCTTTTCATTATGAAGCATTTCTCCAAAAATCAATACTGATCCTTAATGCAAATAAACTTAAACGAAGGAAGTGGCTGCATTCACCCAAGTGGTTAAGGGTAGCTAATCTTGACCTCACTTTTAACAAGTGTTTCATTCCTAATTATTGTAACAGAGTTGTGTGGCCTAGTGGCAGTTTCAGTTTTCATCTTATAAGATATTTTATAATTCATAAATTATATTCAACTTTATGGAAAAATATACTTGTGTGGTACAGATACAGTGCATTTAAATTATAGGAGCCTAACAATTTAACCTTTACAAGAGGCTCCAAAAATGTTCTCTTGGCAGATGTATTTTATAAAATGGCTCTTCACTCCAAAATGGTTGCTGAACCCAGAGTTAAAAGGGTCTTGGTAAGGAAACGCCTAAAGATGAGCTATGAATTTCTCTACTCTAAATTATAAAAAAAGAGTTGACCCGTGGATTTACTTAAAAGTTAACAAATTGTGTGATGGCTAAACAAATTTTATGATTTACTTAACTTAAAACAAACAAGAAAGTAACCAAAAAATGAACAAAATAAATCTCTATTTTCTAAAACTGGCTTTATTTGTTTCTTGACTTGACTTAGTTAAGTGAAACATTTATTACAACATAAATAATAATCTTAAATAATACAATGAACTTCACTTAAAAAAATAACAGTTGTTTACTTATTTTTCTGCATCATAAAACATTTCATTTTGAAGAGCATACTTTAGTTAAAAGGGCATACTTTTTTTTTAATTAAAAAAAAAAGTAATTGCTAAATGAAACACCAGTGTTGTCATCTTTCTTAAGCAATATATTCCCAAATATGAACCATCTATATTAAAATATGTCTGTATTTTTCCCCAACAAAGATGATAAAAAATGTCACAAGAAATACACAATATTCAAACATTCCAGCTTGAGATTCTCAGTTGGACAGGGGCATGGCAGAGAAGCACAACTTGAAGATGAAAGGAGTTTTCCCTCCTAAAAGGGGACAAAAATGGAATTTAGAAATCTAGCACTTACTTTAATGTCAAGACATTGAAATCCTAATGTTTACCAGGAGAATTTTTAATTATAGCTACAGCTATGCACACACAATTAATCAAATTAAAATGTAAGTATGCGCTATCATTTCATTACATACCTGCACTGTTGATGGGCGTGTGATTAACCATGACAAGAGCCTCAATACCGTCAGCTTTACTTTCAAACTCCACAAGACCGGTACAACTTCGCTCAGCTTGGGGTTAAAAAAAGAATTACATTGTGATACAAAAATGTTTACATAGTGTTTCAGAAGTCTAATTTTTCTTTTATATTAGGTATTCTAAATGAAAATTTCATAATGAAATTAAATAAAATTGAACTATTCCTCTAAATAGAGCTTGGCTTCATCAAAACAGAACCACAAAATTTAAGTCTCTATCTCCAAAATTTAAAAAGTTATTAATTTTTAAAAAATCAAGAACAGGGTCAATTTTTAGACGCCAGGAAAGTGTAGTTTTGACACCTGCTATCTTCTAAAATAACTAAGTTAGAACTTTCAAATCTCTTTCACACACAACCAGTTATACATATAACAAACTCAATTTTTTTCAGGGTTGTCACTTAAATGTAAATACAATTTTTATTCATTCAAAATTGAGCCGAAGCTCAATTTTACAAAATATTAAAAGGGAGACAAAAAGTCAATTTTAGTTCATTTTCAAAAAATCATAAAAAATCAATTAATCAAGCTATTGTAAATATACAGGAGTCAAGTAAAAGGTAATTTAAAGCACAACAATGTGAAATCATCAGGCATATGGTGAAACCAAAAAAAGAATTTACATAAATTATTTCAGCAAGGCATGTACACAAAAGCTAAGAATTTCATCGATTTTTAAAAATTCATAAAAAATTAATGAGGCAAGATATCTTAACAAATTTTACACAGTATTGTAGAAAATCTTAATCTTTTTAATAATAAAGCAACAGGCTGAAGTTTAGGAAACACAATTCTGCTCAAGAAATATTATTTTTGTATAGTATTTTTGCACTGAAAATTTATAATTTCCAGCACCTTAAAAAACGTTAATTTATATATGTATTTTTAAAAGTTCTGGAAAATTTGTAGGAAAAATTATTAACTATGAATTAGTATTGAAAGTCAATTTGCTGCCTTTATTTGCATGTCTGTATGGGTCTTGAGACATTTCCCTACACTGGTTTAATGACAAATTTCCGTACATGTACACCAACAACCTGTGAAAAGAATATTTTGTTTAATTTGCATTAATTTTAAATTGTATTTATAATATTATTGTAATACTCCTCAAGTTAGCATTTATGATCATGTCATTACTATCAGTATAATAACAAAATGCACATAAAACTAATGATATTACAAGTGGTACTACTAACCTGTACTGTTACATGGCCTACGCTAATATGTTGTTGATGACTGATGACAATACTGACCACTGACATTCTGTTTTGAAGTGGTCCGAGTCATCTCGTTCTTTTGTAATGTTATCTGTCTCACTCAAGGTCTTAAGATGTTTTCAGTTTAATCCACTGAAATATGAAATGTTAAAATTAAAACTCAAAAGTTTACAAGATTTTAACTGCCTCCTATTTGCCAAATAAATATGCATACACCGTATATAATTTATAACAATAGTAAAGCAAAGTGGTAAGTTTTGAGTAAGGTTAATTTTGGAATCGGACATTTACGAAAGGGGTGAAACACTAGGTACCGGTAACTAATTTTTAAAACTAGCTTTATAACTTAGAAAAAGAATAATAATTAACGTTGCAACACTTTCTAATGGATCATACCATAAAACTTAATTGATAAAATGGATTAGTTATCGAATTTCTGGTTTAAAAATGAACTCCACTAAAATTAAAGCATCCCGTTCACCCTAGCGACAATAATGCTTCGACCCAACATGAATGCTTCGCTCGAATCGACTATATTATCCGAGTTCAATGATTTACTGCAGTTTCCAAACAAATTGCATAGCTACAAAATAAACATCATTAAATATTTAAACATTTCATTGAACTAATTATAGTTTCCTTTTTTTTCTCCGCTATCGTAAAATAAATACAGATGATTTTCAAATAAAGCTTGATCTTCATTTTTCACTAGGCGTAAGAAACACGCATTAGTTATCGATAAGCCCACACTAAATTAACAAATATATGAAATAATAAGCTTTCTATATAATTTAAACATTCCCAAACGAAACAATAATGTTTTAACTTACCTATTTCAGTTTAAAATCCATGAAAAGGCACTAAATTTAAGAAGATCGTAGATAAAATTTGTCATCGCATATTGCTTTGACCGATCCGAGTTCGCCGTGGCGGGATCGACTTGGACCTTTTTTTAGCAGACGGCGTTGACTTGGTTCCAAGCGTTTGCGCACTGATATCGTATATGGGGCGTTCGTGGAATTATAACAATTTTATAGTAAATTGGATGACCTTTCTAAATATATATTTTTGAGGGCCGTAAAGTGATTTTTTCACATAGAAAACGCAATTTTCGTGTTATTTTTGTGTTAAAATCAACGTTATTTAGCATTAATTTACAGTTTACAGCTCCAAAAAATACATCATATTAAAGAACTACTTTTCTACTTTCTAGATCAGTTGTTACTGAACGCACAGGTATAACGATACATTATCGCTACGAGCTGGCGCGACCCGACCAAAAAAATTTTTTTTTCTCCCCGCAGCGTAAATTTCGCCAGCTCATTTAGAATACCTATTTATATTAATTTTATTTCTATTTTATAAAATATGGTACACCTAAATTTCCCTCAAATAACTAACATATAATTTGAATGTTACAGCTACATTAACAATTTTTATATTAAAATGAGTTAACCCTTTACAGTCTGATAATAATGCTTAATGATTTTTATAAAGTTTATCAGTAATTGGAAAATACAAGTTCAAATACATACTTTTTGAAGGAAATTGTTTCATTTTTAGAGGACGCTTCCCAATTGCTGTATCAAACAACTGTAAAGTAAAATTTTTAGGAATTGATCCATTGTTGTATAATAAAATTTTAATATATAATTTCACGCAGATATAATTTGTAAAAATGTGGTAAAACTAAATTTTCACAAATGTGGTAAAACTAAATTTTCACAAACATATATTTAAGAATTCTAAAGATTATAAGAAAAATTGTTTAAATGTTGATCACCTCAAACACTTCCTCTTCTGTTATGTTAGGCGGAGCATTGAAAAAATGCAAGACCTTTGAAGGGCTCTGAATGCGATTCTTTTGTGCAGCTTCAGGGTTTGTGAAGCGGTTGTTTCTATTACCCATATAGTCTTTGTAAGAAGATGTACCATCTGGCAATTCATGGGGGTTGGGAACCTCCTGAAGAAAAGCCTGTTTGGATACACTGAAATAAACCACAAAAATAATTTTAAATAAAACAATCTCTTATATATATATTTTGCTTGTGGTGTGACTGCTTCCATTTCTGGATAGCGCGTGAAATATAATTCCCGATAACTACGCTAAATGATTTTTTTGGTGCATAATCTTTTCTTTTCCGAAAATGATATCGTCTCAATTTAAATTAGGTGTAATAAATATTTGGTTTAAAAGTGGTTCTACCATAAGAATATTATATAAGTTCGTGGGCGTGAAATAAAAAGTGTGCTACAGATATTAATTTATATTGAGTAGACATGCAGATTACACTATCGCAGTCTGTCACTGGTAAAAATAAAGTTGCTCATGAAATTTAACCTCGTTCAAACTCTAAGTCAGATCAGCATAAAACAAGATGTATTTAAATAAGAAATAATTAACAAATGATGACATTATTTAAAAAACCTAGCAAGTAACTTGAGATTTATTTTTTTAAAAAAATAAATAATAAATATCCATTAAGCCTATTCCCGCTAATATATTATAGTCTGATAAATACCAAAAACAGTAAATGGGTGAAAGCAACAATATGACCATCATTATGAAAATGTAACCACCCCCTCCCCCCGGCACACCAGTCATAAAATCTCCCAAATCAACACCATCACCACCCCCTGAGAGGCTATCGTAATATTTGGTCCAAACCAATTGTATTTCTTCATCAGTTTACTGGTAGATCTAGAGAGCAAGTTAAAAGTTAAAAACCGAAAATTTACTTCTAATTATTATTTTTTAAATCGAAAAAACTAAAAAGCCTAGTACTAAACTTATTTTTATTTATAAAATTTACTTAAGACATCAAAGTGACCAAGTTTACCTTAACTGAAGCTTATTCCCAAAAAAGAATCCATTGTTGAGATTTGCAATAGCCCTCTCCACTGAAATAGGGTCTCCAAGCTGAATCATAGCTGATCCCTCTTTACTTTTTAAGAACTTGATCTGTAGGGAATTGTAAATAAATGGTTATGATAAAGGTATTGGTGTAGATAGCTATAGTTACAATGGAAATCCCAATATGTTCCTGCAACACTAGTGGATTGATGAAATTGTTGAAAAAAATTTTCCTTGAGAAATAAATTATGCATAAGCATTTCTTTCAACTGAACATTATAAAAAAACTATTAGGGCTCTATCGGGCATCACCTCTGCTAATTATCTGCTTCAGCAAATATATAGATAAATCAAGATGTATGCAAAAAGTATATATTTTTAAAACAGGAGGAAACTGGAGGTCACCCTTGTACAAAGAGGATGGGAATAAGAGATTTACCAAGCATCTGAACTTGCTAAACTCTATATCTTAATTTTAATCTCAGAACCAGTCTTTTATATAAAGTGTTAAATGCATTTTTGATTACTCAAATAATAAGGATGGTAAATTAAATATGCAAGTAGGTATTCTAAATAAGCTGTTGAGATTTGAGAAAATATTACATTATACATGTGCGTTCAGATGCAACTGATTTAAAAAGTAGAGATATTTCTTAAACGTGATATAATTTTGCAAGCTGTAAAACAAATTAAATGCTAACAGGCGACTTTAAAATTCGTTTAAGTATCTTTAATATTTTAAAAAAGCATTTAAAAAAGCATTTTATTTCTTTTATTTCATATATTTGTTGATATGTGTGAGCTTATAGTTTCAAATGCTGACTAGCATTTAAGTCATCCGTATTTAATTTTAGTTAACGGAGTGCATAAAAAAGTGATGAAATGTCTATTCTTGTTTTTGCAAATTATAACGCCATTTTAAAATATTAGTTACGGTACCTAATGTTTCATCCCCTTTCATAAATGTCAGATTCCAAAATTAATCTATATGAGCTTTATTGGGCTACTAGCTACTTTTGAAGGCATATTTATATTGCCCATTGGAGACAGTTCAAATCTTTTAAACTTGTGTTTTACTTTTAACATTTCATACTTCAGTGAATGCAAATTTAAACATCCTAAGACATTAAAATTTAGCTACAATTAGCGGAAAAATACAGGAATACTCAGAACAATGCCTTTAGTCCAAGACAGATTGTCAGCAAAAACATGATCTTAGCCACTGATGCACATTAGTAGTGTAATAATAATAATATTTATTTGTGCATTTTTTTATTTCATAGCTAGCAATGACATGATCATAAATGCTACGTTGATAACTATTACAATTAAAAATCACATTTAATGCAAATAAAAATTTTCTTTTTCACAGGCTGTTGATGTATGGGTTGGGGAAATTTGGCCTCAAACCAGTGTAAGGAAATGTTCCCAGACCAATTCAGACATGCAAATAAAGGCATCAGACTTCAAATCTCATCTATTAGGCTTATCTACTCAGTCATTTAATTTTAACTTACAATCCTTATTTGCAAATTTCGATTTTGTGTTTAAAAGGACCTTTTTTGTAAATGTTTCTTGAGCATTATTTGTATTTTTTGTAATGACTGAATGGATATCTTACTTGGTTAATTTTCTGTGATTTTTTAACAATGCAAAAATTAGATTTTTTTGTTAATATGCTAAGTTAAGATAATTCTAGTTAATGAATCTTCTGCCTCTAAATTTCACAATAATGAACTTAAAATTTCCCTTTCAGTGATCTAAAAGTTATATTTATAATTCATTTGGTTAATTTTTTATGATTATTTAAAAATAAACGAAAGTTATTTTTCATCTAATTTTTTTATATTTTTTCAAATTGTGCTTTGGCTCATTTTTGTGTGAATAATTTTTTAATTAACACCTTTGTGACACCGCTGAAAAAAAAACGAGTTTGTTAAATGTATAACTGTATAAGTGTGCAAGAGACTTCAATGTTCCAACGTTATTTTAGAAGATAGCTGGTGTCAAAATACACTCGAGTGTTCTAAAACTGTTGCTATTTCCATAGTTTTACAAAATTCATAACTTTCTTAAAATCTGAGATACAGCAATAAAATTGATTGTTCTGATGAAGTAAGGGGAATATTTCAACTTTACTTAATTTCATTATGAAATTTTCATTTAGAATACATAATGCAAGTCTAAAGAGGAAAATGTGTTGTTTGAAGAATAAACACAAAACATCTAAACAGGTTTGAAATCAAATGTAAAAAAAAAAGAATAAAATGTTTTAGTATTGAGAATTTATTAGCGTTAATTTTAAAATATACCGATTCTTTTATGAAAGCTAGGCAAAATCTAATTATAATTTCAGTTCCTTACCCTGACAACATTGCCATAAAGACAGAAGAGGTTGAAAAGTCTGTCACAATTCATTTTGTCCATGTTCAAACCATACACCATGCAAACAGCACCCTGTGCCCCAGCACCTCCTTCATAGGAATTACTACCACGGCCATATCGATCAGGCTTAGAAGATAAATAGATTAGAATAAGAATGGGAATAAAAATGAATACAACAAATAGTTGAAAAAATAGTAAAACTTATTAAGGCCACTGGAAATGGAATATAATTATAATATTTTAAAACTATAGTAAGACCAATCATTTAAAGTATAGATGAATAATAAATATAGCTATCAAATAAAATATTTCAGAAAGATGTATTTAGGATTTTAAAATGCATACTGCTCCTTTGGGTCCAAAACGATCACCCGGGCCACCACCACCATATGGTCCTGGTCTGCCATAACCATCAAAGCCATCATCATAGTAGCCTGGGCCACCAAAACCTGGAGGTCCGCCACCATGGCCCCCTCCAAAACCACTACCTGCAGGTCCATCTAACAGATAAATGCAATAATTAAAATTTTTTAAACTGAACAGATTTCATCATAATAAAACTAGTTACCAACATAATCCACTTTACATATTATAAAAATTCACGCACAGCATGTAACTTAGCTTTTGGATTTTTGTTTCCCTCCATAATAAAATAATTATTTAAATAAATGAGGAAGTATTCTAGGAATAATAATGATTATTTTGAAAAAACATACTGTATGGCGCTGGAGCGGAGCCAAATCGTGGTTCTTGTAGCAGAGGTTGTCCTCGGCCACCGGGTGCCTCTTTGCCTGGAAGAGAGGAGTTGAATGTGTTTTCTTTTCCCACAACTTAAAAGAAAAAAAAGGCAATCACACTGACTTGCCTTTTGGTGCAAAGAATTTGTTGGGAAATAACTACACTTATAAAAATCAATGTGCTGCTTTAAAAAAGTGAAATCTTTATTTGAATATGAAAGTGGAACATGTATTTCATGCACTGAAACTTTGACATAATTATAGAACAATAATTAATCAAGGAAAGAAAAATGCTTATTTAATATTTATTTACTACTTCACACAAATTTTAAATATAAGTAAGCATTGCAATTCATAGAAAGTGTAAACAAAATTATAAATTTGTAAAGCAGTAAAAGTTTTAAATTTTAGGTCATTGGTTTTTACAGATCTATTTGTCTAAACCACAACCAGATCAGGAAAGCAAGTGTTTAAAAAAAAAAAAGAGACTATATTATTATTATGGTTTTAATATGCATAATGGGTTTTTAGAGCTGGTTGTCAAGGGTAAAAAAAAAGAAATACTTTTAATTATTGCTGGAGAATATAATAAGGAAAAAAATATAATAAATTACCAAATAATTCCTCTTCATCCACTGATTAGGATGGTAGGTGACATTTAAAATAATAAAACTAAAACAAAATCGAGTACTGGAAGGGGAAGAGGGATTGAAGCTACTGTATTCTCATTTCATAGTTGCAGCTGAATATTACCGTCGACCCCTTCAAATAACAGAGCCAAGAAGCGATGCTGTTGAACACAGAAATCGAGCAACATCCCTCTCCTAACATGCCCTTGCTTGCTCTGTGAGACGGACAAAAAATGCATCAACCAAAAATGCTTGGAGAGTGAATGCTTTTTTTAAAATGTTTTTTTTTCAGTTTGGAGCATTTTGGTCACTGGCTGCATGAGATGGGTGTGGTGTCCAAGTTTGGTTGTCTTGGAAATTTGTTCAGTCTGAAAGTTCTGGCCTGTTGTATGCAGTACTGATGTGAGCAACACGCAATTCTTTTCAGTGTCAGGAAGCAGGAATTCATAGGGAAAGTTATTCCTCTGTGGCATGAATTTTGCAATAAAAGTTCAGTATCGAAGGGCAGAAAGATAGAATTTGTAAAGCTTCATTGTCCTGTTGTGTGGAAGAGTGGAGCAAAACTAAGTTTGAACAAGTAGATGTGTACAAAAGCTGAAGCAGAAACTGAACTTGTGTCCAACTTGTGCGAAAAATCCTTACTTCACTTTCCAATTATTAAACCATTTGTTATCTAGTAATGTTTTCTTAGATGTTTGCTATTGGTTTGATGAATATGCACTATACGATGGTCTTGTGTATATAGCCAGCAGGCTCTCTGAAGATCTGATTTATCATTATAATGTAAGGCCCATTGACTTTTTAAAATAAACAAATTATATCCGTTTTGTATTAGGAAAGGGTGCAGGGTAGGAGTAAGTGCTGATAATCCAGTTGCCATATGTCAAAGACTGAAATGTATCTTGATGTCAATTTAGGGTAAGGCTTTGACCAATGTAGGATTGCATCTTGATTGGTGTACTCCTGCAATTGTGTGTGCACAGCTGCTTTTAGCGGTTTTGTTTCAGGAATGATAAAGAGAAAAAGTTCCCAAACGATCATGTTGGTGCAAAATGCAGATTCATGAATTTGCATAATATAGTTGTCCTGTTGTTCATTGAGAAATCAATGTGTAAAGAAAAAGAAAAGTTTGAAACTCTGAACAGAAAATTTACAACTTGTCCATTTATTATATACATACCTCCAAGGGCTGGATTTGTATAGTCCCAACTTTCAGAATCATTTCGGACAACATTTAAACGTGTGGGCTGTAATTAAAAACAAATATTACAAATGGTTTATATATTTTTAAAGGATCACCACCATTGCAATTTTTTATCAACAATAAAGAATTAAGAATATATCTCATGCAAATTAAAAGTATGGTACTTAATTTTTAAAAGTTAACAGAGGACACATATTGTCATGTTATTGCCAAACTAAAAATAAATTAAAAATGCTGTTGTAATAATTTACACAGATAATTTCATTTTCAGAGAGAAACAATGAAGAAAAGGTGGGTTTTTTCTCACCTTAGCATATTCAATTTTAAGTGTGCAACATCCAGAATAGATGTCTGCTCCACTAAGTGACTGCTTTGCCCTCTTAGCGGAGTCCACATTATCAAACCTTGATATGTTAAGGAGCATTGGCCTTGCTTTTGTGTAATTGCAGAAAATAAAAAGCTTTAAAAACAAAAAACTGTTAAACAACACATTTTTAAGGAAATAATATCAAGACTTTGAAAAGGATACTCGACCATTGCTTGAACACCATTCTTCTTAAATATAACAATTCTCTGTACTTGACCATATGGACTATTAATTGTGTGCATTACATCCTGAAAGAAGAGATAGTCCTTGATGTACACTAAGCAAAACATGACAATGTCATATTTACAATAATAAAAATACAGAGCTAAAATACAGAGTTAACAACCACATTTTTTAAAAATTTAGTAATTTCTAAATCAAAACAATTTAAAGCAAAATCAGTGAGGTCACTTACCACTGTAATAGGATACTGTGGGTTAAGAACTGTGAACAGTAGAATATGATTTGCAGGCCTGGCATCTTCTCCTTCCCTGAAATTTAAAAAAAAATGATTATTAAATTGAGTTATAACCATTGCATACCCACATCAGATATTGTACATTGGTATAAGTAATAAATTTGAATTTTTAAAAATATTAGGATTATCACATACCCTGGTCTTTGAATTTTTTGACTTAATGAAAAGTTAAAAAAGGCTGGCTGTCCTGCAACATAGATCGAGTTTCCTTGCTGATGAAAAGAAAATATTTTTTAGTTAAAAAATTGATATTTTCAATAGTCACAATGAAACATTAACTATTTTTTAAACACCCAAATTACTCATGTTTAGGAATTTAGTCTGACATGTGCATTTTTTATGATACATGGCATATATATAAATATATGTTGAGTTGAATTTGATTGAATTTTAGAACAGTTCTATCAAGGTCAATGAAGGGGTTGGTTTGCAAATTTTTCTTTATGGGTGGCTGTGGCTACCCCACAGGGCGTTGCGAAATATTACAAAATTTTCATAATTTTATTTTCACTTTTAATCCAATGTGACAACGTTCGGTCATGGTGCAAACAGTTACCCACTTGAGCAACTACTGTTTGCAGTTACAGATGGCGCTCAGTGATCTACTTACATGTTATATTTATTTATTTTTGTATTCGCTATTTCAAAGTGTATGCATAGGCGCCGGGAAACAAAAACCTTAGAAACACTGGTGAAGCCCAATGAAATATACTTCACATGGGCGCTGAACAATTCGGTGGACTAAATATTACTGTAATTTCTCATCTGAGTATATCGAGTTCATTTGTGAAAATACATCTTGGCAACATCCCAACCATAATTCCTACTAAACATTGGGTGGTATTTTACAGCATTCAAGATATAAATATGCTGTTTTTGGACTTTTGGAGTTTCGGGATAAATATTGTAGCATTTTTTAATAACGCACATATTTTCTGCCGAGGACCCCCCATCCCCAAAAACTGTCGTTATGGAAATGTTATTGCATAGATTTAAATGTTTAGATGCAAGCATCACACAAAATCTCCTAAATCAACACCACTTCTTTTGCCCCGATTGATTGCTAATGAAAAGTCCGACTTGCAGAGTGTGCGGTGCGCCTATGATTGATGAAGAACGCAACGCAGTAATTTTTTCCGATGTTCAAGCAAGAATATCTGCTGATAAACTTTCTTTTTCTTTTGTTTATCTTATGCTTATCGGTATAAGTTTCTTCTTCATCATAGTTTCGCTTGACTTTCTTTTTGTCGAGGCCATATCATATTATACTAAGTAAAGTAAACTACGGTACTGAAAACAACAAGTATCGTCGATTCCATTAACGGTAACATTAAAATCATGCAATGTTCACATTCTTCAATATGGCCAAATTCGAACGCCAGAGCTGTTTGGATAATGGGACATCCATATATAAAAATTATATAACATACCGGTACGCAAAATAAAAGTTTTAAAATATTCATGCTCCCTTCCCCAGTCGCACCTTGTCAACATAAAGGACACAGGGCTATCCGAATATTATGTATGCGCCGAGGATACATATAACAGCTGAGGTGGGGGGTGGTGTGTTTGTCTCACCAGAATGCACCTAAATTTATGCATAAATTCTACAATATTTATCCTGACAGTCTCTTATAGAGCCAACTGTCTCCTGAAAATCTGTGAAATCCATGAATTCTAATTAGGCCTATTATTATTAAGGCTGTAAAAATATCACCACTATGTTTCGCATTTATTGTATACTAATGCTTTGTGTTTCCATAAAGAGATCGCTGTAGTAGTAATATTTGACATGACATAGTGACAACACACTGTAGTCCTTCAGCTTGTCTTTCCATGCTGGTGACATAATTATTTCGCTCGGCAGAACCAACCTTCCCCCACCCTCATAAAAAAAAAAAAATTTGACTCCAATAGGCGCCCGATTTTTTTCCATTAACATACTTAAGTCTAATATCTACCAGTAATAGTAGTGATACCAAACTGTTGTATTAAAATCGTTGAGGGGATAGAGCTACTTTGCGAGTTCTAAAAAAAATGTTTAAATGCTGCCGACTAGATCTTATAAAATATGTCCCAATCCAACAGAACAGAACAGTTGGTTAATGTATTTTATTTTAAAAGCCATGTCAAGTTTTCTCAGTTTTCACAATCGCAGCCGTTCAGGTGAACAAAATAATTATGTAACGAAACTACGTCACATGCTTGGTAGCAGTCAAAAGGGGATAGTAGTCTAAATATTCACTGAACAATATGACAATAATCACCATCAATATGATATGTTGTGATATTTTTATAACACTCCCACCAATCCCCCTACCCATGCGTCTCATATGCCACAAATCATCTTAATCAACAACCTCCACCTCTCCTCTCAGTGCGTACATTATATAATGAAAGATGGTCCCAATTTTAAAAAAATTACAACCAATCATTTTTCTCTGTTTGATGCACTGCCAGATCTTTATTAGAAAGGGCTAAAACTTCCACAACCGAAATTTATTACATTTTTTTAGAATCGGAAATAATTACCTGAATATTTTTTTCACGGGGTCTCTGAAAATCGTAATTTTGGCAGGACTCTGTGATCAATTTTAAGAGACATCTAAAAATCATAAATTGTACGCAAAATCGTAAGAGTAAACAGGTCTGAATCAGGTGCATTGAGTTTTTGATAGGTTAAATATAAATATTATAGTAAGATCTCAGATTTAAAAAAACAACTCACTTGACAATATTCAACACAATTCTTTGCACCATTTATGTCCTGAAAGAAGTGAAAGAAATAATAATTAGTTACTTTGGAATTTTTATCAAAATTATGTTTTTAAAATATTATTTTTAAATTCTATGTAATTCTTTTTTACTCTTACCTCAAATTCAATAAGGGCTTGTCGTTTCCTTGGCATCATCATTACATCTCTGGTCACAAAGACATAAATAAAAAGATTAAGTTTAAATATAACTTCCTTATTTCATATCAATAAACATTTTATTTTAAGTACGACAATAAAAACTTTTTAAAATGTGGTGGATATGAGTTTAGGAGATGTATAACTCCAACCTGACAGTTCCAAAGTGTTGAACAGCTTCCACCAAATCTCCTTCAATAGCATGTTCTGACAAACCTCTCACATGAACACAAGGTGAAGGTGCAGGCTTAAAACGATCCTCTGGATCCTTGAAAAAATGAAATGATAAAAAGTTGTGAAGGCCTAATTTATAGTTACTTAGAAACAATCACATTCTTTGTAACTGAATATTAATTGTGTATTTTATAAAGTGAAATATGTAAGGTAAAAATGCTAGCCAAAGTTATGGGAACACATGTCCATGCACGTGTAAGCAATTTTCATTAAAACTTTATATCCAAAGTAACAAGAAAATCTGATGACTCTACACACAATGTATCATGTTTACTTTCACCCTAAATGGATAAAATGCAACTTTTAAATTAAAATAGCTTCTTTAAACCCAGATTTTTGTCAATTTTTTTTGTTTACACCAATGTATAATTTTCAAAAAGAGACTCAAGATGATAAAGTTGATAGAAATTAGATAATATTGATTAAGGCTAAGCCGGCACATTTTTTTTTAAACACCGGGTCTGGGTATTTTAAGAAAGCTGTAGATTCAAGTGTTACAACAAAAAAATTAACTTCTTATTTTCTATAACATATGCCGGCCTTTAAACAAGTCCTACATTCATATGTTTCATTCATAAGAATTTGCTCCCCCCCCTTAAAATTCCAAATAAAAAAACAAAGAAATCATCTGGGGAGTGGAGTGACCCCTCCCCCAATTTCAAAAATATAAAATAAAACAAATCCTTGCATTCAGTGAACATAAATATTGAAATCTTTTGAATACGGCGCTGAAGGCGGAGGGTGACCTGGGTGAACCTCCATGACCTATATACCATGGAAAACATTGCTGTTCTTACCATCAACCAAAAATCAGCAGAACATTCAAAACTAGGTATTTGGGTAAGATCAGTTTTATGCCTGTCTAATTGTTGCAAAGTTATGCGCCCCTTGTACAACATATTGTCCACTTCAAAATGTAAACATTGCACATGTGTTGGGAAAAAATGCGGTTAGAGGGCATTTCTTTGTTAAATAGGTTGTCACTGGTTGTGTGATATATCATTTTAAAGAGAATTGGATGCAAAAAAAAAAAAAAACAACCTGTCTTCCAATTTTAATCAAGAATTATTTCATAAAAATGTATCAATTTGAAGTAAGCTAAGTCCACTGTTTAATTTCTCATACATTCTCCCCCAGTAGCGATTTTCATAACCCCTGTTTAAAGCATCCTATTATCTAAAACAGGGGTTCTCAACCTGTGGGCCATGGTCCCAACCCCTTTGGGGGTCGAACGGCCCTTTTACAGGGGTCAACAAGACCATATGAAAACACATTTACTGGACAGTTATGAAGAAACAACGAAAATAATTTTGCGTTTGGGGTCGCCACAAACTGAGGAACTGTATTAAAGGGTTGCGGGATTAGGAAGGCTGAGAACCACTGATCTAAAAGAATGGGCAAATAAAACTCCCAATTATTTTGATAAATTTTTAAAACCGTCACCACATGGATGTTTCCTCCCTGGATTCCATTTTCAAGATGGCAGAAATGTTCTCCTTTCTACCTCAGCAAATCATTTTTAAATCTTAAGTAATATGATTATTAAACAATGTTAAAAGAATGATTTTAAGTTATTTGACTTAAATATTATTAACTAAGGCTAAGGAGTCATAAAAATAAATATTTAATTGTAACTCTATATTTAAATAGTGAAACACCCCTATGTAATATTCTTGTTTAGGAGTTTGGTCTATGCTACTTGACATGTGTAGCATGGAAATATGAAGAAAAATTTGTTTTATCTTCATAATCAATAGATTTTAAGTTAAGATTTGCATATTGGTCTTTAGAAATGCTGCACACAAAAAATTATTTTATTTAAATACCTATCAAATCAAATGGCTATAATGTTAATCCTATTTGCAGTTTTTAGTCATTTTAATTGTGGGGCTTCTTTAAAAAGCTAATACACTTAGCAAAAATAATAAAGAGTTGATGAAAGATACCCCCTAATGCAAGAAAAACTCCTACAATCTGAATATTGTAAATTGTAAACAATCTTATTGATGTTCCCCATTTCAATACGAACAATTTGATATTCATGACCCTATATTTTGGAGAATATTGTTCATGTTGTGTTATACGGATTATACTGTTTGTTAGGTTACCTTCATTAATTCCTTATATAACTTCAATTTACTGCTCTTTTTATTAACTATATCAGACCTGTTTACCCTCAAACTCCTAAAATCGTACAATGTCATCTCAAAATCGTATAATACTAATACCATACCTCGATAGTAAATTAAAATCATACAGTTCAGTAAATATAATCAGTTTAAGAGTGTAACTATTCAAGTTAAGCTTATGTCCATCGGGCCGAGACCGAGCTCTGTGAGGTTGAAGCTCAGCATCACTGGCTCGGTGGTGTTACATGGGATTTTGCCTCTTCGTGGCGTGACGGACCAGTAGGGAGGTTTCCTCCTAAAGCTAAAAAAATCCCGGCCAAACACATGACTTCCAACGCAACGAAAGTTGCGCGCTAACATGATTATGTGTCGCCGATAATGGATATGAGGCGTGGGTGAAAACCAAACCCTTGCCGAGGATTAAAAACATGCGGCCTTGAGAAAGCCTGAACGGTGGGGAGAGGTAACGCAACACCTTCCTCCGGAGAGGAAGCAAAGCTGTTTCGTCCCATAGACCGGACAACTCCCTGGGCAGTGGGAGGAAGTTACGCTCGAGACTTCCCCGGAGAGGAAGTAAAGTTATACCATACCTCAGACCGTACTGCTCCTTAGACGGTGGGGAGAGGCAACGTAACACCTTCCCCAGGGAGGAAGCAAAGCTGTTTAAACCAAAACGTCCAGACCAAATGACTCAATGGGCAAGGTGATGCAAAAACTCCTCCCCAATGATTGGAAGATTTCTGCCCAAATCCCTACTCGAGACCGTGTTGCATGGCCTTAGGGACTACTGGGCCATGTTTCATGGCCAGGGTCCTAAGAGATGGAATCTCGACCCATAAGAGTAATGAGCTTTATCAGTTAAGCTGAAGTCAAACAATTTAACTTCTAAAAGTACATGACTGAAGTTTATATTGCTATCTGTTGTCACTTTGTTCTCCATACGTGTATCTGCTATAGCTATCAACTAATATTTAGGTGAAAGTGTAGATCATATTTTGCTAGGTACACCGCCGTGATGCACGCAACCACTTCAGTCGTAAAAATATAATTTATAATAATTAATATATACTAGGTAGATACTTCTGTAAATCAAGGGAGACTAGTACTTTTTGTGTATCGGAAGTGGCAATCGGCGCCGAAAAATCTGAGTTTTTAATTTTCCGATGTGTGTCTATTTATTATTAAATGATTACTTTCGACATATATTTGAGTTCCGTTTCCGGCCTTATATTTTGATAGACATCTTGACCTACATTTTAATCAATTTCTTTTTCGTTTACAATCAGTCAGCTTTGAGAAAATCCTTGGTCAATATAAGGCAAGTTTCATCATTAAAATTAAGTCCAAGTAAAAGATTTATCACTACCAATTTTTTTTTGCATCTGGGAAATGTATTGATCTACATATATGCCAATTTTCACAGCGATATGTGTCTTACGAGAGACGCCATGTTTCTAAACGTTCGCAGCAGGTCATGCAGTTCGCTCAACCTAATTTCGTCATGGGGTGGGCCACTCCCCCTTTTTAATGGCGGAAGTTGCAGATACATAGGAACTATTAATTTATTACCACTATTTACATCAAAATATTTGATAACTTGTGTTTCAGAATGCATTTTGAAGACATTTAAACTGGAATGTTTTAATTTGAGCTTTAACAACCCGGTAGAGTCCATATTATAAAGGCCGGCACTACGTACACCGCGGCGGTGTACCTAGCGAAACTATTGACTTTGGCCTGCGTACACCGCGGCGGTGTACCTAGCTAAATCATGGTCTGTGGCCTGCGTACACCGCAGCGATTTACAGTAGCCAAACTATGGTCTTTGCGAGTCTTTAACTTTTTGGCCTAACCGGTACTTGTAGATTTAATGTTATACTCGTGTTAAAACTGAAAACTATTAAAAATTCGTTTATTACGTTGGGAAGATATTGAGTAAGGTCCACGCGTATGTGGCAAAGTGCATGTAAAGCATTTCTTATTATTTTTGGAAGGGAAGGGGCTGGGGGGGGGTGTAATGTTAAACCATGATTTATTTTTAAAGTTAACCACTTTATTCCCCCCTCCCCCAATATCTTGAAATACAAATATATTTATTAATTGTAAGTTTTATCATATGATTGTGAATCTTAATTTGAAATTATTCTCTCATGCCCACCCCCACCCAGTTGTTAGTTGTTTTGTTTTGGTTTTTTTTTTGTTTTGTTTTTTTTTTTGGGGGGGGGGGTGCCTTATAAATATAACATTGTATGTGATCCCTCGGGGCATGGTGTAAAAATGAATGGGAAGACAGTGTATCTATTTTGTTAGCACCATGATATAATTACGCCACAAATACACTACGGGAAGAGAATCACATACTCATACATTGATCATGAAGTCGTGAAGTTAAAGTAGTCCGAGGCATTGTCATTGTGACACCAAGCATGTGTCAACACAAAACAGCAGTAAGATGATCAATACGAAACACTGCAGTTATTTGAAAGTCTTTTAACAATAATTAAAAATCATTGATTTAGTTTTACATTGGCATTACACATTAGTAAAAAAAATGCAGGCAGAGGGAGGGGGGATGCAAAAGGTAAGTTGGTTGTGCGGACGTCCTTTGTGGACAACCCCTATCCTGAGCCGTGATTTGTGAATGCCCTCTTTTTGGTTAAGCCTCTGCCCATAACTCACCACCACCCCCCACTCCCCGGCAAGGATCGATTTCTTAAAAAAAAAAAAACAACAACAAATACAAAAACTTTGACATAGTGCAAATCCTGTCCCAGGCCCATTGTGCAATGGTTTCTGTGAGAAAACGTCGTGTTTTACCCTGAGAATAGCACATGCCATGCCATTCTGGAAACAAATTACGTCATGAAAAGGGTAAACGCAGACCTATGGCTTTGCTATACAGTTTGCTACCGCTCCGCAAGTTTCTAAAATCGAGGTGTTTTCAAAAGATTTGCTGTGAGACTGAGTGTTGTGAATGAACCTTTGATATCGTATGTACATTTTGCCAATGCATAAGGCATAGTGAAAGCAAGATGGTTCAAGGTTGAAATACGACCATGCACATTAATATTCATATGCATGAATATTATTCATACTGGTATTTTCTTTGGTTGTTCGTAAAAGTAAAATGTAAATATTCAACTATACGAAGAATGTTGAAATACAATAGAATATCAGTCACTTAGTATTCATAATGTTTCTGTTATACATGATCATCATGTATTACATGCGCTTTCAGAAACTTTAAGTTTGTTTTCAAATGTCTAAAGTCTTATTACTAAAGTTACCGGTATTTTCAAAGTCAAAGGCCGGCACAACTTGTTGAAACACTTATATATATAAATAAATATATAAAGTGTATTTAATATAATATTTAAACATATATTTAAATTGTTTCAATTGCTACAAAATATTTTAAAACTAAAATGGGAGGAAAAAAACTCGATCTCCCACTGAGAATTGATCTCAAACTATATTATCCCCAAGCGTCCACTCTACCACTTGACCACACAAGATCTTCTCCAACAAGTATATCTTAAAACCAGGCCAATGGTAAATTTTTGCCGCGGTGTACCCAGGCCAAAGCCCACGATTTCACTAGGTACACCGCCGCGGTTTACGCAGGCCAAAGCCGATGGTTTCGCTAGGTACACCGCCGCGGTGTACGCATCCACTTCGTATTATAAATGATCAGAATTTACTGTGTGCAACACGTTGTCATCGGCAACCATTCACAGCCACTTGCATAATGGTGGTATCGTAGTACTACCTCAGAGTTTCATTCATGAGAGTTTGCCGAGTGCAAAAACTATTATACCATTGGTCAGGGAAAGCTTTAATTCATTATTCATGTGCCAAAGTTGAAAGTTTAAACTAAGTCTAAGTCGACCCTATACAGTATTTTAGTGATACGGCGATGCGTTGCTTTATATAAAGTATATAGTCATTGCGCATGACGCGATCAGCGGAATGAGGTCACAAGATGTGGAAGTTTCATCCATAGTAAAAAATACCAAACGAAATCGCACTTTAAAAATTCGTAGCTCAAAAAGTACGTAAGCTAAAAAGTTGATTCTGGTTTCATTTTCTTATTTGAAATTTGCTCTAACTAACTGTGTTATTAAAAAAATTATTTCAATTTTTTTAAATTTTGTATTCAAGTAGGCCTACCTATACTAATACTAGGACTACTGTAACAAGAAATTACAGTCACAAAATCAGGAGACTAGTTGAAAATTATTAACTGCAATTTCATGTATTTAATTTAATACAACATCGGCTAGCAGCCAGTAGGTTATACATCACATAAGCCAAGATTAATATCCGATAATTAATTAAATTTAATTAGATTGAACTTGTGGCTTGTGGTAGTCCTGGTAGTACGGACTGCACTGGGGAAGATGATCATTTCTTTCTCTTAAGGCTTACTTCATACAGTATATAATGAACTTTAAAAATCTATTGACAAAAGTATAGATATATTAAAGAGTATACATAAATACCGTTACTTACTCTTGAGCCATCGTCTGTTCTTTGTCTTTTATTTGAATGCTCGTAGTTATTCGCCATTTTGATTTCACTAACCGGACAGTCATACGAACCAGATTTTTATAATGAGACTGACCATAAATTATCTTTCTAACTCTCTATTTAAAAAATATAATTTTAATTTTGTGTTTTAAAAATATATACTTTTAAAGTCACGTTATTAAGATTAAGTTTTTATCAATATTTTAAGAAGTGTTTTCAAATTTAACCTTCTTATTATTAACAACTTTGTATTTTATATTCAAACCCAAACTGTCAAAATGTGTGCTAGCCTCGTTTTAGAGGCAGCCCTAGTTCCTTCCCAAAATGCATCGCCTCACTGCTTGCCTTATCAACGGAATGCCGGCTCACTGTGTTAAAAAAAACTGTGGGAAGGGGGAGGGGGGGGGCGGGGGAGACTAGACAAAGTTTTAATTGCATTGGTCAATAACAGATTGCATTGGTCAATAACAGAGTTATTAATCTTTTGAGGACATGGTCTAGTCACTAAGACTAGGCTATGAAATAAATGTCTTTGACTCACTGCCGGAGGCGGATGAAAACGGTTTGAGGCTCCCCTTAAAAGGTATCACAAATCTCCCCCGTGGCGTAGGGTTATTGACGCCCGGGGATGATCAAAGTCAGCAAATGTCGATTATTCCATTATTTGGTAGAAAATGTTGCCCCTCCATAGAAAACGTGCACTCTGGGCACCCCACTGCCTACCCACTTTCATCTTTTTCCAAAAATTATCCATATGAATGGGGTCATCTAATACTAATATGATCTAATAATACCATTACGCTATTTTGGTCGATAGTTTTTTCCCCATTCCCCAAAATGTCACAGAATATAGACGTGAATACACCCCCTAAACACCATACATTTTAAAATCTTGTATATTAACCTCGCTTTTGTTTGTGGCTGGCAGGCAAAATCTTCTGACGACTAATTGACCCATTTCTCGTCAACCCATCGAGCTGAAACTTGGCACATAGACTCGTTGCCGATGACAACACATTCTTTCAAATTTTTAGCCCCAACCCTCAAATTAGTTTTTTCGAGGGGGGGGGGGATAACATAAAATCCCTTATAACTGCGCTAAATGACATTGTTTTTTTTTTTTTACAAACATCGCAAGTGTTTTCGATGTGTCATAATATTTTATTTTTTTTTTATAAAACAGTTGGAGAATTGAATCTGCGTGTAAAAGCGGGTGTGTCATAAGAATATTAATATGTATCAGTGGCGTGAAAAATTGTGCGGTTGCGAGCCTTGATAAAAAAGGAAAGGGGGGGGGGCACTAATTGTGAATCTTATAAAGTGCATTACTTTTTGGCGTGTTTTGCCAAATTTTCAACCCCAAAACCAATGCTCGATATTACATTTTATAAAGGATTTATACGAAAAACTGAAGTTTCATGTTTGACCTCATTTATGTATGGTCTTTATCCGTGGAGTTGAATTCGGGTTATCTTTCTGTTAAATAGCATGACTGGACTGTCCATTAATTACGTCAACAACAAAAAATTATTGAATAATGAGAAAATTCTGATATTTTAAGCACTGAATGGTTAAACCAGGGTTTCTTTCAGCTATATCTCGAGGGGGGGAGTGCCCCCGGGGAAACCAAGTGCCCCCCTCCCCCCCCGAAAAATCTGGAGTGGCCCCCCCCCCCCGAAAATCTGAAGTGTCCCTTCGGGGGGAACTTTCTGAAAGAAACACTGGGTTAGACTAGACAAGGATGATGTCAGCCGGTTCCACAATATGTTAACATGGAAACTATAAAATCAGTTGCTATGCGCCATATTGCAAAGAAGAAACATTTTGCTTCTCAACATTAAGTATAAAGATGAAAAATAAACTAGAAATATATTTACTATCAATAAAATGTATACTACTCTAGTCATCATACATTCTAGTTGCTACAAATTTAAAAATGTGCTAAGGGTTTTTTTTTAATGTAATAGATGTGTCGTTCCCGCCGATTTTTATATCTTAAAAAAAATAAAAAGATCTGTATTTATTTATATCTTTATTTTCATGGGGAAAGGGGTTAACAATTGTTGACATAATTAATTAGGGGGAACCTTGAAAGTTTGGTCGTTGTTGATAATGTGTGTGTGGGGGATGGGATACAATTTGCTGAAAATTGTTGGCATAATTAATTGACGACCACCAAGAAGAAGTTATCAAACAATGACAGCCTCTCTTAGTCTTAAGCCGACCTTTGGTGATTACCATTACCGTTCTATTAAAAATGTCCAGATTGTGCTGTTTCATTTACTTTTTCTTTTCTCCCCCCTTATTATTTACCTCATGATATCTTTGCTATTTTCAACAATTATTTTAATAGCACAAATCGTTTTTCACTTTTTTTTTCTTCAACAAACAAGTCCTCTCTTCAAATAATTTAGAGACTTTATTTTATTTTCGATATTAAAATAACAAAATTTAAATTAAATAAGCTTATTTAATTACACTTTGACCTTTATTATTGCCCGACACACGGGTCCAAAAAATTATGCGTTATGTTCATGGGTAAAAATGATCAACAAGTCCTTGATGCCCGGGTCGAATTTTCCAATTCGCTCGGGTCGATTTAATCCCTCGATTCGTGTTAAATATTCGTGTTTATGTTTTTAAAACAAAGGTCCCTTCTTTTACTTTAGATTAGTATGACCACTAAGGCTATGTCTAGGGTATGACTATATATTTACTAATTAAGTACTGTAAGTACTCTGGTCTCGTCTCTAGATCCAAGTTCAAACTGCCCTTTTTTCGGCTATTGTGGCGTTCAATAGACACTAACTCGATATTCGTTTCTGATGCAATTTCCTCTGCAGCAGATGCAAATTCTTCTCTGTGTTTGGTGAAGAAACGGATTAGACATTGGGCTTGGAAATGTTTAATGGCTGCATAAAGTTGTATAGCCAAGGTCTTCATGATCTTTCTGATGGCGTTGACAGGAAGTCATACCATATGACCATGGAAAGCAGAAATGAAAAAATCCACAGCTTCTAGTTTGCAAGACAAGCAGCTTCACCTTTTATTTTGGTGACATCAAGGGATATTACGGGAAAAGGACAGGTTGATCATTTGATTGCCTTGAACAATGGGTTACCCCGTTTTCTACTCCATAGTGCTGGCACTGCTCATCAGACCTTCATCATCAGTGGCGCTACAGCCCTGGCCTGCTCCACCATATCCTTCCATAAGAAACGATCCATGGCTTTCCACATCCACGCGTGATCACCAGTTGGTCCTTCTCTGCATACTCGATCCATCTCAGTCTTGGTCGACCCCTAAGTTTCTGCCTGAAGATCAATTTCGCTGCTCTACATCATGGGATTTAGTCTAAGGGCACCCGGGTACGCATAGCCGCTATTCGGACCCGGGTCGCTTTAGACTAAATCCAATTCGGATGTCATTTATGGTGGTTTATTTTTGTTAACCCGAAGAAGTAAGTTTACAAACATATACTCCTTTCAATTATCTTTCATTTGGTAACTCATTTTGCCTTACAAACCCACCAATAATATTTTAAATAGTTTTTTAGTCCTAACCTCTCACGTCTAATAACCGGGTGCGAATAGTCGCAGCCTTAATATATAGTGTATGAACATGTATTACTTTTTAGTAGCCTCCTAAACTCGATTTCATTTTTAACTATTTTTTTGTGGGGTATGCTGGGGTTGACAATATCGATGAATTATAGGACAGGAGTTTATGATAAAAAGAAGCATAAGTTTAAATAACATCATTTTTAAAACCCTGATATGTTAAGTGATTTGCTTATTTTACATTTAAATTACTTGTAAAAAAAAATTACAAATTTTAAGTTTCATCTCGGATTTATTTATTAAATGCTTAGATCTCGTTAAGGGGAGAGTTTTAGTTGCTGCTGAAAGTGAAAAGAGTGATGAGATGGATAACTCAAACGTTGAAAAAACGAGAAATTTATAAACTATACACTATAACTATAAGTGGAGTTGTAATTTTAAATAGGCCTAAAATTATTAACTTTTTATCTTCAGTTGAAGGTGACGTTTTAATATTATATTTGCCTAACTTTTAAAAGACAAATGTAAAAAAATTACAATTAAAAATCTTTTAAAATTAAAATCTTTAACTTCCTAGGCCTAGGCTAGGCCTAGACGTGACCTAGTCCTAGCAACCTTACTTTTTACCTATATTATGGCCTTACTCCTGTTAACCCATCTTAGCCATAGTATTCTAATAATAAGCCTAAGTACTTCAGAAAGTATAAGATCAATGATAATTTAATTTACAAATACTAATAATATGTAATATGAGTAAGGCTATGACTATGGGCAGTATCTCAGTGTGGGCATGACTTTTTAAAATTTTGGTCTAACTAACTTAATAAATAGTTTTCAAAGTTAGACCATTCACTCCAATGATTTTTCAAGGTAGAGAGAGGCTATCCTAAGAGATTTCATTTCTACATGTTTCCTTACTATACATAACTTACTTTTTAGTACACTAGCTTCAAAATGTTTGCTTGTGGTTAATTGTTGTTAGTGAAAAAAAAATTAGACTATATTACCATGATTTGTATATTTGAATTATTCATTTTCTAAGTGTTAGTTATGATGAGTCACAAATTAACCATATGAATATGATATGATTTTAAGTATATATACTTATATAATCCCTACATTTAACTAAAAGTTCATCTTAATTAATAAGAAAAAATTTCTTCTGAAGGTCAGGCTTTTCTAGGTTATACCACTTAATCAATATGGATACAGAACTGTCAAGGAGCATCCAATCACTCGATCCACATTTTCAACCTTTTGTCCATTATCTCTTAGAGCAGAGCTGTGAAATAACTTTGACGAATGAGTCACTTCAAATTTCGGAGCCTTGTTCAGGGTATTTATGCAATAATTATAAGTGTTTTGTCATTGTGTTTGAAACTGGCCTTACACTAAGAATTATACGCTGTTAAATTATGATTGTTTACTTTTATTAAAAAATAATTTTTTCCTCTATTCTGAGGATCTTACGTTCACAACTATTGATTGCTCTATTGATAAATGAATGATTAAATCTTGGATTATTCTTGAGTTTTTAAAATTTTTTAAAAAGAGTATGTGTTTTTTTTATCTGCAAAGATGCTACCCTAAAGTCACGATGGAGGGTATAAGATATGACAGATTTAAGTTAAATATACCTTATGCCCAACAACAGCTAACATGTAAGTCTTTTGATCGTTAAATGAACAACTAATATCTTATAGAAATAAGGAATTGCATATGCTTTGTTTTACATGAAAGAGTAGAAACATATTCTTTTTCTTCTGGGCATCATTGCATGGACTTCATAACATTTTCTTTTCTTATTGAAAAATTAATTTCATAGCTGTGTGTTAGCAAAACATTCTTGATTTTTTTAGTAGGTTTTAGCTGCCCATTGGTTTTAAATAAAAGTAGTCAACTGAAAAACATGACAGTGTGAACTTAATTTTTTAAAAATTACATTTCAGGGGAGATAATTTTTGACTCTGCTAATTGGAAGGAGCCTCCTGATTTTATTTTTGATGCTGAAGATGATGACTTTTTCCCCCCTATGGAGCAGATAAACGTAAGTAGACTTATTCATGTATTTTAAGTTTAAAATAATTTTAAATGACTGTATTTAAACAATAATAATAATAATAATTCATCTTTAATTACATCACCCTAATTATTGTACTAAACTGTAGCATATTTTATTTTGAATTTTGTATCCCTGACCAGTGATGGTTACTGGGAAGGGTAACTTCACTTCTGCATCTCAACCACCCTTCTTTTTACTCAGACAATAATATGTAGATGTAATTTAGCAACTAAAGTCATTGCATGCTCCTCCTCTCCATTGTGTCTAAATGTGCTACAGTTCATGATTATCTTACATTGCAAGACCTGGATTATAGATTATTGTCTTTTTATTGTCAGAGTTTAATTTGCTGGGACTGGAAGAATAAAGAAAGCTTGGCAGCTGCTGTCACTGAACTACTTGAGCTGTATAAAGATTATCAACTTGAGAGAGCTAGTACAAACAGTACATTGCAGAGACATTTGAGGTCACTACTGGCTGAAAATCCAAAGGAATTACAAATTGTCATTAATAGAACAGAGGTAATTAGGAAGTATATGACAGATGTGTCTTGCTACTAAAAGATTTAGACTGTGAACTGCTAAATGTTACATTAATTTGGGGTATTTTATGTACTCCCTTATAAAATAAGGTAAAAGATTTTAATAATACCTTTTTTGTCTGGCTGAATATAAGATATTAAGCAGAATTATATGTACCCAGTAATTTTAACATAGTCCACACCAATGGGGTGTAACCTTGAAATCATTTATGTCCAAAATTTTGTTTTAAAGCAGGAACAGATATTTCAAAACTAACGACTAAATTGTATTGATATTTTAAACATTTATTGTGCGAGGCTAATCACATATAAATATGATTTAAAATAGTTCACAGTCCAAAATTTGGCTCTGAAAGTATTAAATAAATATAGCTGGGGTGATGCCCGGTCAAATCGAAACTGCTAGTCTACGATGCTGGTCTGTGCATTTTATAAAGTATTAGGTTAGAATATAGTATTAAATGATAATTTAAACAAAATTATTTATTATGCTAGTATAATTAGTTATCAGCATTCATTTTAAATATTTAACATTGTAGTATTTCATTAATAGAAAATCAATTTTTTTTTAAATTTGAAAACTCATTTTAATACAATAGTATGGCACAAATAGTGATAGCTAGCACTTCAGACAGTGGAAGAGAAAAATACTATAATTGCTTTATAAATAATTATTTCTTTGACCATTTACTTTTTTATATCTTTGTAGCATAACTTTGGCACAGTCAATGTACTCATGAAGCTGGAAGTCAATTTTTCCAATCTTCCACCGTATTTGCAGGAGGTAAGATTGTGCTTATAAAATCATTTATATCAATGTTATTATGCAAATCGGAACATTTTAAGCTTAGTCTTTTTTAATGTTGGTTCATATAAAGTCTAAAAATAAATAATAAAATATGTCTACTAAAATTTTTAAGTTAATTTTGCATATGATCACTGGAACTTGATCTAATGCACCTTTTCAAGGTTATGTTTGCTTTTCCATAGCTCAAAAAGCTTGGAGATAACGTAATATTTTACATTTAGGACATATAACTTAAAAATGTTCATTGTGCACCTATATTAGAAATAAAGCAAATAAACATGTTTCTTTCTACAGGGCAACCCAGGAAAAGGTACAGCTGTTTTATATGTTTGGTTTCCAAATCCAGAGAGCTCTTCTGTTAAGTCTCAGCTTTATTTGTCACCAACTGTTGAAAGGTTGGTCAGAATGCATACTTCTGTCAAATTATAAACCGCTGTTTAAGAGCTTTGTCAGCATATACATTAGAGACCGACCGAAAGGGATCGAAGCCGAAAATAGGCCGAAAGTTTAAAATGACTTTCGGCCGCAACCGAAAAAATACCGAAAGTTAAAAATGAATTTTGGCCGAAGCCGAAACCGTAAATGAAATATTACGATATTTTGAAATTCGTTCCCGCATACATTCTTCATACATCGAAAATGATGTGGGGAAAGTATAAATATTTACATTCTTTTTATAAAAAATGGGATAATCGTGAATATTAATAAACAAACATCTAATATAGGGGTCTCAAACTCGCAGCCCGCGAGCCATTTGTGACCCGCAAGACGATATTTTGCGGCCCGCTACATGACAGAAAAGTTTAGTGTAAATGCGCCGGCGCGTTTCCCCCATTCTCATATCTATAATGTGACTCTCCGCGACGGTTTCAGTGGAATCTCACCGACTAGTCTAATTCTGATTTTTTTATTTTTAATGTCTCTATATATTTTTGGATGCCAGGTCTCTGGCAACAGTGAGTAGTTCTTGAGAACCCTTAATGATTTTATTGCTATTTATAAAGGTTGAGCAGATTGTAACAATTGTAATCGCTTTTTTGTGGATTACTTGATGCGGCCCACTCTTATTCAATTCAGACACTACCTCCTGTGCCCCCCCCCCCCCCTTCCCCCTATGTTTTGATTTTGAGACCCTTGTTCTAAGAATACTTAGGTTTTTACCATTTTATTATAAAAGTAATTTAATTTGCTTTACTTTTTTTTTTGGGGGGGGGGGGGGGGAATTATTGCAAAATATTTTTTTTTTAAACAGGGTCTCTAAAAAATGTGGTTCTAAAAGATCGCTTAATTTGTTTTTAAAGATCGTTTAGTTGGTTGTAATTGATCGGTTAGTTTGTTGTTAAAGATCCTTTAGTTTGTTGTTAAAGATCGTTTAGTTGGTTGTTAAAGATCATGTAGTTTGTTGTTAAAGATCATTTAGTTTGTTGTTATAGATCGTTAAGTTTGTTGTTGAAGATCGTTTAGTTTGTTGTTAAAGATCGTTTAGTTTGTTGTTAAAGATCGCTTAGTTTGTTGTAAATATCGCTTATTTTTTTCACAAAGATCGCTTAGTTTGTTCTTAGAGATCGCTTAGTTTGTTGTTGAAGATCTTTTAGCTCGTTCATAAAGATCGCTTAGTTTGTTGTAAAGATCGCTTAGTTTTTTCTTAAAGATAATTAATTTTGTTCCTTAAGATAGATTAGTTTGTTCCTAAAGAACATTTAGTTTTCTGTTAAAGATCGCTTAGTTTATTCTTATAAATCATTTAGTAATAACTGTAGTAATAATTAGTAGTAAAGATCATTTGTTTTGTTGTTAAAAATCATTTAGTTCGGTCTTAAAAATCGTTTAGTTTGTTCTTTTAGAGCGTTTAGTTTGTTATTAAAGATCGCTTAGTTTGTTTTAAAGATCGCTTAGTTTTTTCTTAAATGTCCCTTAGTTTGTTGTTAAATATCGTTTAGTTTGTTCTCAAAGATCGCTTAATTTGTTCTTAAATGTGGCTTAGTTGTTGTTAACTATCGCTTTCACTGAGTATTAAAATGACTGAAAACCTGAGTCACTTTCGGCCGGATGGCCGAAAGTCTAAGTCAATTTCGGCCGAAACCGAAGAAAAACCGAAGGTTAACTTTTCTCTTTCGGCCAAAACCAAAATTAAGCCGAAAGTTAACTTTTCAGTTTCGGCCGAATTGGCCGAAAGTGATAAAATGGCCACTTTCGGCGCCGAAGCCGAAATTCGGTCGGTCTCTAATATACATACATGCTAAACTATACTACTATTTATAGACTTCAGACAATTTAATTTTTTCTATAGTAGTTAGAAACGTTTGATGTTGTATGAAAACATATAATGATTACAGGTAGTGATTATCTAAATTTAAAATGAACAAGTCGCTCTAATTATTTATTCTCTAAAACAAGTTATGAGAATCTTTCTCTATTGAATATTGTATTTGACAATTATTATCCCAGATTTTTGTTTTTCTAAAGGTTGAGAAGATACTATGATAGTGCTAGGTTTGCCATTTACAAGAAATTAATCTAATATTATGTATTTTATATAATTTTACTCAAACATTCATTATTGGGAAAATCTGTCAAATTTATATTTAGTTGTAAATGATTACATTTCCTAAATTCTTTCAGCGCTTTTGGTGGATCTAGCAAGCTGCATATTCCAGTATTTCAGCAGGGTATATTACTTGGGGAGTATTTTGCCCTCATCAATCAGCTTTTAGCAAAACAGGTGAGATATTTCTTTTTTTTTTTTACTTTTCTTTCATGACAGGAGAGGAGAGTAGAGGTCTGGTCATTTCTTATCAGCATAGTAACCAGCACCAAAAAGAAAAAAAGTTTCCTTGTTCTTAATTTTAACATAATAAAATTCACTATTGCAGACCTGTTTATTCTTACGAATTTAGTGTATAATATACGATTTTGAGGTGTCTTTTACGATTGTACACTAAGACCTGTCGAAGCAATGATTTTAAGAAACTGGGTTGAAATTATTATACATTCCAGTTTCCAATTAAAAAATAATTAAAACGTACATTTTCAGCTTTTAGTTTTAACTTGCTCTCCACATCTAGTAGTAAATGGATGGAGAAATATTATTGGTGGGGACAAAATATTACGTTTGCCCTGAGAGGGGAAGGTGGTGGTGTTGATTTAGGAGATTTTGTGTATGGGTGGTCTAAATATTTAAGTCTATAAAATTCACACTGCCAAATTTTTGTAATGATAGCGATGATGGTCATATTGTTGCTTTCTGTGTTATAGTTAACTCACTGGACAAGGCAACAGTAATATTAGCGTAGTCAGCTAAGTGACAATTTAATCCTGGCTTTTGTTTTCTTCAGTGCCGTATGACATAATTTTTAGACATAATTATTTCGTTTGGTCTGCACATTCTCTCAATATAAATTAATATCTATAGCAAATACAAGACTGCAAAACAAAGTGACAGCAGATTGCCATCTATTTTTAGAAGTTACCTTTTTTGACCCATCTTAACTGGATCCCACCAGACACACAATGCGAGTAATTATTGTATAAATTTTATATACTGTCTGTTTATGTCTTTACTATTAAGCTACTGTGCTGTACAATTTTGAGATCATATTGTACGATGTTAGGTGTTTGAGGGTAAACAGGTCTGCAATTGCTTTTAGTTTTAGCAAAAGGATTATAATCCTTAAAATAATAGTTCTGCCAGGGGCTTGTGTTTAATTACTATATTAAAAATGAATGATTTTAACATGAAACACCAATCTTAATCCCAAATGATCTGTTTGTCATTGTGGAGCAATGCTGAGGAAAAAGATTTCACAGTGAAAAATGTAATGTTTGACTTAATTAGATATAATATCCTGTCATTAGAACATTCAATTTTTTCCATGTCAGCAAAGGTAATTTGAAAACTATACCAGCCTAATGAAAAAATCCAGTTTGATCTGAATTATTTATAAAACCAAAGATATATACTTTTGGTGCACATGTTCAATGAAAACATTAATTTGATGAATTTTCTGAACTATAAGCTACATACATGCCAACCTTGTAAAGTTGAAACCCTTTATGCTGATGCCCAAAATCTGGAAAAACATTTAGACTCCAAAATGGAAATATCACAATTATTTTCAGCTAAATATTTTTATTTTTTTTTAAATGTTTTTTTTTTTGTAATCTTGAAATTATTTGAGCTATAAACAAACTCTGCCTGTGTTATTCCACACATTCACTGGAGTAGCTCGGGTTAGAACCGCCCAGGGTGGGCCAAAATTTTTGCTGCCCCTTTTTCACAAAAAACAAAAACTCTGCAGTTGACAAAAAATGCCACCTCTAAATGCAAAGAAAAAAGGTTTGCACAGGCAGACCATGGTGCACACCCCCACCCCCAAATGCACTGCACTGCACAAACTTAAATAAGGTAAAAATTCTTTTATTGATACAAATAAATGAAAATGTTTTTTATTACATTGTACATACTCAATTTCAGCACATAAATAAATACATATTGTAATCGAGACAACATTTTACACTTATAACAATTCAAAAACAAGGCATATGTTGTCATTGCAAGTGACTATATTTTTTTGGCATTGGTATATTTTCTGAACTTTTCCATCCCTTTGGTATGGTATGACTTTCGTATTAAATATATAACAAAAAAATGTAGGAAATGTTGTCTCCATTGGATCTTGCTTCTGGCGTCAGATTGTTTAGGGTTGAGAATGACCTCTCACAGTGTGCATACCTGTAAAGTTACTTTGTTGACAACAATTAAAGTAGTGCAAATGGAAAATACTTTCCAGGTCTTTTTCACTTTTTAATTGCATTATTTACAGCCAGCCAAGATAGTTTGGAAAATAATGAAAACAGGCTTTGCTATCCATTCATTTTTTTTAATCCTGGGTTCAGTCATTGATTGAATTTGAATATTTCAAGCTAGATAGAAAACAAGAATTAAACGGGAAAAGAAGAAAATTAATACAATTATGTCTGACTTCCATCTTCTCAAGGACTTGCTTTGCTGCACTGCTTATTTGGAATTATTAAATAAAGATCTTAAAAACTTAAGCAAAATCAAGAAAGCATGTTTAATATATTTGAAAAGCTCTAAAATATTTAACAGAAATTAAAAGGATTATTATAAATGTAAGATTAATTATAAGGGTGTGATAAATATATTGATTCTAGTCAAAAGCTTTCCCAAATCTACTACTCTTATTACTCTTAATCTAACTTAATGATTAAATATTTAATCTATCTTTGTTGGTTAAAACAAAAAAACTCTATATGGCATATCCACTATTACTTTATGATCCGCTAGGTAAATTTATAAATATTCTGCCTTGATTTGCAGGTGAGCCTCATATCTGACTGTTTTCAGAAAAAGCAAAAGTTCACATCAGGACTTCTTGCATATTTTGTCAAGTAAGTATACATACTTTTTCATTATTAGGTTTTTAGGTTTCACATTCATGTTGATTGTTCAGTAGGGAAACTAAGTGAAAATCCTTTTAAAAAACAAATAACTTCTTCCACCATCATTTTTATTAGTGCACACGTTGACTGTTTGTCATGTGATTTAGAACTGCAGTCAATAGTATGTCCGCAATGATCTTCACATTAGCCTGAAACCGATTTTCCCAATAAGCCATCAATGCTTCCTGTGTTTCCCCCCAGGTCTGTGATAGAGTATGATGTCAACAAAATTGTGCTGCTACTTGAGTGGAACGACTTTTTCTTCACTTTTACAGGTTCTTTTTGTTTTTTTTCCTAAGTTAACGAGTTCTTTATATTTCATTGCCTTTTTGTGCAGTGTTTTGAGGTATCTAAGTAGTGAATGTAAAGTTATAATTGTACTGATGTACTTTAAGTCTAGAATGGAGTCTGTTCTTTGGGTGTCTGATCCATGTGTAAGTATCAAGGATTAGTTTTACCTATCTAATGATTGTTTATTTTTCAAAACTGGGAAATTACACATTATACCGCAGACCTGTTTATTCTTACGATTTTAGCTTTCAAGGTACAACTTGATGTGTCTTTTATGATTGTATGCCGAGACCCTATGCTTTTTGAGACCAGGTTATAAAATATTTTATTAGTTTCATGGACATCATTATTTCTTTCGTCTGAATCATGGGATTGTGAAAACGGAGAAAACTAGGGATGTTTATTGTTTTATTTTTATAACATGCATTCTTAACTGTTGTGCACTGGAACTTTGAATTTTGACATAGTTTTTAACATCTAGTTAACAGCATTTGAAATCTATTTTTAGAACATGTAAGGCAGCTCTATCCCCTTAACGATCTATCCCCTGAATGATTTTAATGCAACAGTCTGGCATCATCACTCTTACTCCCCCTCACCCTTCACTGTATGCGGTAGTTATTACATATTATATGTTTAACTGAAAAAAATTAGGTTCCTTTTAGTTAGGCGACGGCACACTTTTCCCCTGAAATAATGAGGGTGGGGGACGTCAATTACGTCATCAGTATGTTGTCACTAGGCTAAATATTACTGCTACTGCTACAACAGTAACTATCGAGCTCTTTATAAAAACACAAAGCATTAGTATGGCGATAACTGCGAAACACTGTGGTGTAATATTTATAGTCTTAATAGGCCTAATTAGAATTCATGGATTTCACAGATTTTTAGGTGACACTTGTCTCTATTAGAGACTGTCGGGATAATTATTGCAGAATTTTTGCATAAATGTAGGTACATTTTGGTGACACCACCCCCCACCCCACACACACACACACCACACACAGTGTCAAACAGTCCAACCAACTGCAGGCAAAAGATCGACAAGCTGATGGAGAACCTCTGCAGCCTGATTGGAGACTTGTACAGCAGATATCTCCTGACAGCAGCAGTTAGTAGACTTGACATTGACAAGGTTAGCTTGTGTAGATTGATTATATAAATGTACGCATTTATGTTGTAGTTTGTTTGACAAATTTGAATATACTTCATTTGTTTATCATTTAAATTGTTTATCATAACACCAACAGTGCAAGTTTATAATTGTTTGTTTCAGGTCCAATACAAGGTAAGAAGGAATAAGAAAGATGATACTGGCCTGCTAATGGATCTCAGGCAAAGACCATGCTGCAAGACTAGGAGAAGTACAGTCTCAGAGACAAGAGAGTTATTGAGTTCAAAGATATTTTGCTATGGTGCTTGACAACCTACTGAAAAAAATCCCAATGTCTGATCCTGTTCTTTAAAATACTTCTGTAGTTGATCCAAAAAAGAGATTAGAGGTTAAACATCAGAATACTTTCTTAACAGATTCCCCATTCTGATCCCCAGAGAGACTGATGTTGACACCATCTCTGAAGAGTTTGTAATGTATCAGCAGACAAACATTGATGTTTGTATTGATGATGGGGATTGACAGGATTTTGCAAAGAATTAGAAAAAAGCATCCAGCCCTTAAGAATCTTGCACATGTTGCGAAGGGGATCCTCACTATACTTTATTTCAGTGCTGCCTGCGAGAGAAAAACTCTATATGGTCCGGAAAACATGCCCAGACCAAAGAACACCAATGGCTTTGTTAGTTCTTAAGTGGAAATCAGGAAGCTGCTTGGATGAAACTCTCAGTGCCAAAGACCCCCCAGCAGCTTAACAGTTCCTACTACAACTTAATGAAGAAATATGTATAAAACTCCAGCAAAACTGTGTCAATATATGTAAAGTCTGTGAAAAAAATCATTTTCGTTGTACATATAACAGTATGATTTACATAAAAGTTTGATGAACTTTCTTCACAGTTGTTTTCTTTTTATTGATAATTAGCAGTGAGTAAATGCAAGCATCATCAATAACACAAAACTGTTTAAATTATTTATAAAATGTGTATTCGGCTAAATTTAAGTACATGCCCCTTTTATTACTACTGAGTGTACTATTTTGAGATATTATTGAACTATTCTGAGATGAAATTGTACAATTTTTTGGTACTATTTTTGGAGTTCTCAGGTAACCAGGTCTGGTACTGCCTAGTTTTTTTTTGTTTTTTTTAAGTCACCAAGAATTTGACACCCAGAAAATCATTATCTTCCACTTCCATATTTAAAAAAAAAAAAGGTTGAAATAATTAAATATACAAATCTAGCATAGTTTACCAGATATCTCATTTCTGGATCAAAGTAAATATCTTCTATATGGCTCCTGAAATCTATCTGAAATTTTTCATTCTTCTTTCAACAGTTGAGCTGCCTCAATATTTTCCCACAGAACCACCAGTTTATATCTTTAAGTCGGTGTATCACAATCAGAACAAAAAACCGTACACAGAACGCCATACAGAATTTCCTTACAGCCCTAGATGGAGTGGGGTGGAGATGGCTAAAAGAACAAGGTAGGAATACTGTTAGCAAAAAGTAGTCAAGAATTCTATCATGTATCAGGATTATGTTATTTAATGATGTTGCTCAAAATAATAACGCTGTTGTACATTTACTTAGTAAGATCTTGTTTTATTAAAAGATGTATTTTTCCTGTAACTTTTAAATCAGTTGCTCCCAACCTTTTTTTTTTTCTCCCATATCCCTTGATTAGACGTTTCATTTTTGCGTCTTCGTTTTTCTCCTCCACCCCCCCCCCCCCCACCCCAAACTATAGCTTCTTGTAAATGAATAGATGTTTAAAAAATTTTTTCCGCCATCATTAAATCAATATACCCCAGATTGGGAGCTGCTGTTACTAAATGATGAAATGCAAGTTAAAATAAAACCTTAAGTCAATATGTTTTAATGAGATGTGAGCTTCCAAGTCTTTTTAGAATGTGAGGTCAAAATTGAAGAGCCAAATTATTAAAAGGGACACATTCTTGAATTTATAATACTTAATAACATTCCCTGTCACTTTCCTTAATAGATCAGAGATATAATACTAACAAACACTATTACCTATAGGGGGGGGGGGTATTATGTTTTCCTGAGAATAACATTATCTATTGAGCACCGGATATTAAACCAAATGATAAAATTCTGTGTATGAAACTTCCTCTATTTCAGTGCTTTCATTTGGGAAAATATAAAGAACTTTCAAACAGCCTCTGTCAATAATTCTGACAGATGAATTGGTTTTTAAGAGGAGTAGCTTACCGGGCCTCTAAAATGAAATAAACAATTGAAATTGAAGGACCACAGGAAACAGATGGACACAGCCCATGTCAGCAGTGCAGAATATCTATCCAATTCAGTCTTTCACAGCCAGTCATTACATTTATGAGGATGTTTCTGCTTCAATTCTGTCAGTTTATTCTTTATATGTAGATAGCGGGAAGAAGCTCCAGTTAATGCATAAAAAAAAAGTAAGGGCAATTTTATTTTTGTGAGTGTTATTAATATTATTACCGTATTCAATTTATCTGCAAAAAAATCTAGTACACCTGTACATGAATGACTCATATTACACTGAAGTATATGAGAATCACTTGAGTTTTGTTATTTAATACTCTTCAATGTGCACTTTATTGAGAATGAAGGGGCTTTCAAAGTTTTGTGGCTGACTTTAGGCATGGTTAGTAGGTGGGTTGCATTGAGCTGACTTGGCTATTCTGGATGTTTCAGTGATCCTAAATACTTGATCAAATTGATAGTAGTAAATGAGGTTTAAAGAGATTTAGCTATTAACACTTTCTTTGCTGCCAGGCTAAATTGTTGCTATACCTGTTTTGAACTTGGCATTTGAATTGTTTTAAAATCTGTTTGTGTGAGCATTTCTTGTTACCGTATAAATTGTATAAACTTCTCTTGTACGGTAGGCAAGCAGCAGAAGTGAAAGTAAAATGATTTTATAAATTGACATACATTGGCAGAGATTTCAAGTTTTTCTGATAACTCTAGAAATCAATGAATGTCATTTCATGCACTGCCAATATAATCTCATCTTTTTACTTGTAACATGAATCTTGCTGAAGATAACAAATTTCTTTTTATTATTATGTGAATTTGTCAGAAGATAAAAAATATATCCCATTTTGTGTTAAAACTCTCTTAGATTAGTGTTTCACTCAGAACTTGGTGATCTAGCAATCTAGGGCCAGTCCATGGTTCACCATGTTCAAAGCATTTATGAAAGTTTTAATTATTTGGCAGATTTTTAACCAACAAATTGAAAAAAAAATTGTATTTAACATGTTATGATAAAAGTTTGTTTTATGTGCAATATTTTTTATTCAAATGTTTCACATTTATTGTTCTGTTATTAATTTTTCAATATTTGTCTATAATAAAATAAAAGTAAAATACATTTCAATGAGCAACTGAGAGTATAATATTCCATATTTAAGCATGCATTCTGTGTGTGTTCAAAGCTAAAAAATGAACTCTTATGCGAGCCTGAATAATCTTATATTGAAAATCTTAAATTTTTTTCTCCCATGATAAATAAATGAATAATAAAGTTAATAGCTGGAAAGACTTTAGTGAATAAATATAAAACGTACTCAATTGAGTGACAATTCCTATTGTTTTGACCAGTTCAGTACTGGCTGTTGGAAATGGGTCCTAGTTAGCAGGGCCGGCCTTAGGCCACTGCAACCTATGCGGCCGCAGTGGGCCCCGCACTTATTTTTCTAATACAAAATCTTAATTTTCACTTATTATCCTTATCCCTATCCCGACTTGGGCCCTGCGCAATCCGTTTCGCATAGGGCCCCGCAATTTGATAGGGCCAGCCCTGCTAGTTAGTCATGAGTTGTAATCAGTGCAGTTATACAGACTAGAAAATACATTATTTTTACACAATTTTCAATCTTTTAATTATTCATTCTTATTTATTAAAATTTTAAAATTAATTTTTTTTTAAGACATATATAATATTATATATCGAAAACTAGAAACCAAATGCTGACCAGGGTCAGGGTTCATCAAAAGACGTTCCTCAGCCTACCATTGATACCGATTCTCTCGACACCAGCAGCATGCATTATACACAGCAAATAGTGGAGAAAATGGAAAAGATTGAGGTGAAAATACAAGTAAAAAACATGGATGGTTTGGAAACAGAAATGTCTGCTGATAATTTTGATTCAAACCAAGATACTGTAAATGCAATGGTTAATGACAAAAACTGGCACATTTTATCAGGTGCTTCTCTCTGGAATGTAGCAGTTCCAGATCATTTTCAGTCTGAAATTATTAAAATATGGAGTACCTCGTTTCAGAACAAGGACGGACCATTCAGCCTAGTGACAAGGCAAAGTACGAAATCTAAAGAAGGTGTGCGCCAGCTAATAAAACAATGGTTTTTCAGGATGATGCCTAATGGCGAGAAAATACTGCGGTCGTGGATGGTTTATTCACTCTACAGTCAAAAATTGTACTGCTTTTGCAGTAGATTGTTTGCTGTTAATGTTACAGAAACAACATTCAAATTTATTACTGCCTTTGATAAGTGGCGGAAACTGAGCTCAAAATTTCAAAATCGTGAAGCATTGGAAGAGCACCCATGTTGCCTTAAAAGTGGAAAGCATTTGACAGCAGGCCTTCGATGACACAAAACAATTGATGCCAAGAGTATTGCTGTGATGAACAGGGAGAAGAAAAAGTGGAGGGATATCCTGCACATGTTGCTGTATGTCACATTGTTTCTTGCAAAGGAAAATCTGGCATTTTGTGGCCACAACGAAGATTAATCATCACTGAATAAAGGAAAATTTCTCTAAATATGACCCAGTGCTAAAAGAGCACCTAATTGGACTAAAGAGGATTAAATCTACAGTAAAAGCATCCACATCTTACCTCTCACCAGCAATTCAAAATGAATTTATAAATGTCCTTGCAAATCATGTGAAGGAGATTCTTATCATGGATATAAAGGCTGTGAGGTATTTTGGAATTATGTTCGAAATTGCACCTGTTATTATATCACGCACTGACCAGATGTCTGAAGTGATCAGATATGTGAAAATCCAAAATGTGAAAGTTGAAGTGAGAGATGTGTTTCTTGGATTTTTTTCCCGTTAAGAGGGAAAAAATCAGCTGACCTTACTTCTGACATTCTTACAAATCTAAAAACGTGATGAACTAGACATAATGATATGCAGAGCACAAGGTTACGATAATGCTGCCCCAATGTCTGGAATCCATGGAGGTGTTCAGGCCATTCTGAAAAGAAATAATAAGAAAGCGATTTTTAAGAAACCGATTTTTAATGTATGTGTGGGCCATTCGCTTAACTTGTGTGATCAACACTCTTTTGTTGAAAATGCTTCATGTATTACATTTTTCGGTACTCTTTTGAAAGAATATTTTCCTTCTTTGCTGCATCCACTCATCGATGGAATGTTCTAACTGAACACCCTGGAATGTCGGTGAAAAGACTGTCAACAACGCATTGGAGTGCTCATCATGCTGCAGTTAAAACAGTGAAAGATGTGTTTGATGAATGTGTGTCTGTGATTGAAGCTCTGTGCAATCCGTTTGAAAATTGGGATACAAGAGGTACAACACAATGTCTTTTACATGTTATATGTGATTTAACGTTTGTCTGCTACCTTTAGCTCTGGTCTGATCTACTTGAGGAAGTAAATCTTACACAGCAGTATATGCAGACTAAAGGCTTTACTCTTGACAAATTGGTGACAAACCTAGAGGCCTTAAGATTGTTTCTGCACGAGAGGTGCTATCGCTTGGTGGAACAGGCTATTGAAAAGGCATTTTTAAAATCAGACCAATATGGAATTTCGGTATAGAGAAGATTACGGTTTAAGAAGAGAATGGCAAAAATCTATTAATAGATCTCTCTTTCTCTCTCTCTCTCTCTGCCAGAAGAAAATAGTAGGAAGAGATGCTGGAGTGTATTGATTGCTTACATTCTGAAATCCAGCTCACATCATCAGCGATCAAGAAATTAGCAGATATGTTTGGGGCTGTTCAACCCAAGAGTCTAGTATCAGCAGGTGAAGAAGAGTTATTGGTTTCCGTTCCAAAATTAACCTCATTCTATGATGAATTATCAGAAGATGAACTTTTAAAAGAAATACCAAGGCTTAGAAAACACCTAAATGCAGCTGATATTGAAATTCACAAATTAATGTATTTAATGTTTTTAAATTCATAGCTGAATGGGACTTCCTAGAATCTCTTCCAATACTCTCGCTAAGCCTTCAATTTTTTCTTATGATCTGTGTGTCTGTTGCTTCATAACTTCATGTGAGCGGAGCTCAGAGGCGTAGCTAGGGATTTGGGGGGCCCGGGGGGCTTGGCCTCTTTAGGGGCCCCTGCATTTTGACATTCGACATTATTTAATGTAAAAAAAAATTCGGACACGCCTTTGGGGGCCCCCCTCAAGTAGGGGCCCGGGGGGACTTTTGAATTTTGACCCCCCTCATCCTCCCCTAGCTACGCCAATGGTGGAGCTTTTAAAAACTAATGCTTATCAAGACCTTTTTATGATCCACCATGAGACAGTCAAGGCTTTCTGATCTGACTCTGCTATCAATTGAAAGTGATACAGTGATGGATATTGCTTTTGTTCAAGTGATTGACAGGTTTGTAGCATTGAAGACGAGGAAAGGAACATTTTAAATAAAGTAAATTTAGTTTTCTTTTAAATATATAACTTAACGTTGTTACCGTTTTTAAATACATTTACCTACTGACCTTCAATTTATTATTTTTTTTATTTTCATTGTTATATTGTGGACTTGTTTTATTAAGAAGCAATCCATCATGGAAGTTTGGGGGGGGGGGTATGGCACCACGAGTTTACCTCACCGGGTGATATCAACCCTAGCTATGCCACTGCCCACAGTATGTCAATGTGAGTGACCTAGAAAAGTAAATACCGGGGCGCCACAAGGTTGCATTCTCTCCCCTGCCCTGTGTACAATATTTACCAATGACATCAAGCGCCCAAGCAACATCGTTCCAATCATTACATTTTGCTGATGATATCACCATCGTTGGCTTAATATCTGAAGGGGAAAGTTTATCAGGAACCTAGCTACCCTAGCTGGTATAGAACAAAAATTATAGAGACATATAAGTACCTAGGTGTCACCATTAATAATAGGCTGACATGGCATGAACACGATCAAATTCTGTATTTAAAAAAACAAACAAAAACAACGGCTTTCGACCTTAAAAAGGAGTACACTTTCGGCGTAAACCAAGTTAGTAACTTATTCTGGAGTGCAACAGCGGGAAGCTAAGCCTAATAAAATTCAGTGTTACCTGCTGGTGTGGGAATTCATCGTCTGACATCAAGCACCAATTCAATAGACTGATCAAGACTGCTAGTAAAAATGCTGTTGTAAAAATTTAAATCACTTCATCACTGATACCTAAGATCAACATCACACCCTCTTCATCCCAGACACCTAAGATCACATCCCACACTCTTCATCACTGATACCTAAGATCACATCCCACCCTCTTCATCACTGATACCTAAGATCAACATCACACCCTCTTCATCCCAGACACCTAAGATCACATCCCACCCTCTTCATCACAGACACCTAAGATCACATCCCACCCTCTTCATCCCAGATACCTAAGATCACATTACACCCTTTTCATCAGGGCGATCGCAGACACTTAAGATCACATCCCACCCTCTTCATCCCATATACCTAAGATCACATCCCACTCTCTTCATCAGGGTGATCACAGACACCTAAGATCACATCCCCCCTCTTCATTCCAGATACCCAAGATCACATCCCACCCTCTTCATCAGGGAGATCACAGACACTTAAGATCACATCCCACCCTCTTCATCCCAGATACCTAAGATCACATCCCACCCTCTTCATCCCAGATACCTAAGATCACATCCCACCTGCTTAATCCCAGATACCTAAGATCACATCCCACCCACTTCATCACGGGGACCTAAGATCACATCCCACCAATTTCATCACAGACACCTAGATCAGCTCAACAGGGCAAATTATTTCTCTTAAAGTTAAACTTAGGGCAGAAAGACATAAAAATTCCTTTGTTCACCAGCATGTACGAATGCAGCGTGCTCCCCCAGGGGTGACCAATTCGAAATAATCACTCAAGTCATTATTGTCACTAAAGGTGTTCATATCAAGCTGATATCTACGCAAGAGATCCCCTTGTCAAACATTGTCAGAGACCTCGGCTTTTATACTGACATTAAACTTATAATGATTCCCCATGTCAGCTCTGTGATCAGGGCTTGTTTCTGTCATCTGCGCGCCCTGTGTCAGCTGCGTCCTCAGCTCAATAAGAGAACAGCCAATGCCGTAGCAGTCACTCTAAGTCTAATTCATTCAAGATTAGATTACCAAGTTCAGAGACTCAGGAAGGTACAAAATACTGCAGCGTGCATTGTATCGCGGATAAAGAAATCTGACCACACCACCCCAGTTCTTGGAGATCTCCATTGGCTTCCTGTGAGGAGCGCATTAACCACAAAATTCTGTCCCCTGGCGTACAGCTGTATAGAAGGCTCTGCACAGGAATATCTTAAAGAACTTATTTCTGAAGACGTATCCTTAAAGAACCTGCGCTCTTTAACACAGTCCTGGCTGAGAGTTCCCAGTGTGGATGGACACAGAAAAAAGTCATACGGAGTGCGCTCTTTAACACAGTCCTTGATGAGAGTTCCCAGTGTGGATGGACACTGAAAGAAGTCGTACCGGTTGCGCTTTTTTGAAGTAATGGCGCCGAAATTATGGGATAGTTGGCCTCAGTCTTTGAGGGAAATTGATAATGATAAAAATCATTTAAGAAAAAGTTAAAGGCTTTTTTCTTTAAACAGATTTAAGAATATCAGAGTGCTGTGAGCATGCTAAAGTAGCATGGATACAAGCGGTATATAAGTATTCAACACAATACAATACGCCAGAGAAATACTTTAGATGTCTTGTGTTTAAGTTGTTATAATTGTAAAATGTTGTTTTTGTTAAAAATATGTTAGTATTTATGTGCTTAAAATGAATATGTAAAATGTATTTTTTTAAAAACAACTTTTCCATTTATTTGGATCAATAAAGAATCTTATCTTATCTTATTATTCTTATACTTTCATTTTAGTTTGAGTGCTTATACCTCTCCTAGTCCATACATTCTTAGAAAATGCGCCAACCCAAACTATAATGAGATATTAACATTTAGTAAGCCAATGCCATAACTGAACTTCAAGTATACCATTCGTTATCCTCCACTAGCTGATAGAAAGACACAGCAAATACACTTTGATCGTCACTGAACTAAAGTCCGTCCATAACGTGCTCACAACAAGGTTAAGTCGAAAAGTTTACATCTGAATGTCTAAATCATCCCAAAATTCAACGGGAGTTTCCGCCATTTTATCTTTGAACATGAGTTTTCTCTGAATAAAATCTGGCAATCCCGTGGCACAGATCCGCTTCTCGCGGCCTGACTCGACTCCCAGCACATTGGATAAGGCCAGGAACGAGATGTTGGCGAGCTTCCACGGCTGGGAGAAAACGTGTCTGTACAGTTGCAACGTGGACCGATTCTCGTCTGTTTCCGGCATGCCCAGGCGATGGATGATGTCACTGTTGATTGGAAGAACGTGAAGGTCGTAGTTGAGCATAAAACGGATGTGGAAGAAATACTTAGCAATGGCGGACTTGTTGTACAGAAACGCAACTGTTAGAGGGGATATCACTTTGACGCGACTGTCCATCTTCAGCACGGCTGTTGACATGGGGATCGGCATGGCACCGTACCTTATCATTGTCTGCACCACTTTCTCCTTTCCCAGCATTACCGCCTGGTGGAGCTCCGTGGTGATGCCGGTGCCTTCCTGGAGCAGATATTCGACGGCTGTGACCGAGCCCTTAGACACAACTGTGGATAGAATCGACTTGGTCTTGTCTTGTGGCACGGCCACCTTCAGACCGTGGTTAAGGAGATATTTTAGAAGATCTTCATCTCCTAGAAGAATGGAGAACGATAAAGTAGTCGATCTGACCTTCCTAAGGTCAAGTTCGGACCCGGCTTTCACAAGAATTTCCACACATTCTTTAATCCTTTCGGTCCCACCATTCGTCAGGTCAAACCCGTGCATCAAACACAACACCAGAGGGGTATAACTCTGCCCTTTGGTCTTTGCATTCACATCCGCGCCGAAGTCTACCAAGACACTAACGAGCTCAGGGTGCCTCTTTCTGGCAGCCACGTGCAGTGCTGTGACACCATTGTAGTCGGCTAAATTGACGCAAGCCTCGTTCTGGAGCAGCCTTGTCACCACGGAAACGAAACACCGTTCAGTGGCTTCCACGAGAGGCGTTGGTGATCTATGGCTGGCCGCATTCACGTCGACCCCAGCCCGCAGGAGCAGCTCGATGGTAGACTGTCTGTTGTCTGATATGGCGTACGTAAGCGCCGAGTTCCCCGTGCTGTCAAAACCATCAGTATCAGCGCCGGCCTCGATGAGCAGTCTCAAGGCCTTGACCCCGCCGGTTTTGGCGGCGTGAATCAGAGCCGTCTTGCCGTAGCGATCCGTCACGTTGATGTCCACACCGGATTCCAGCAAAGCCGTTATCTTGGCTTCGTTTCCGGCTATGGCGGCCTTCATGAGGGCCGTGAGACCGTTGTGATCTTGGGCGTCGGCAGAACCGGATGGGGAATCTTCGTCGGTAGTGTCCTCCGAGTCAGACTTGAGGATCTGGTGGACCAAGGATGAAGGCCGAGAACCTCGACTCTCGTCTTCATCATTGCTCATTTCTACTCATGCTCCTTGAATCCCGGAGACAGCTGCTGCCATGTGGCCTAGGGCCACAGCTGTGAAAAGTTGTATGGGCAGTTTGAACATTTTTCTACCGTTTAGAAAATAACTAGTAGGTTTTTCCTGACATGCACGCCTGATTCCTAAGTATAATGCGTTTTAAAAAAAAATGTTTAAGTTAATTAATATATCACTGTGTACACCCATAATGTAAAAGTTATCCTGAACATTGGCAAGGCTTATGCCACATGATTAATGTTAGCAGATGGCCTCACTGATCTAAGGCTGTGAGCTTATCAATGATTTTTTTTTTTTTTTAACCTCGTCTGAAGACATCATCAAATATTCTCTGAGCAGAATCTGAAAGGTAAAAAATTTAATTCACTGTTACAGGATCCGGAGTCCGAACTTTCCACCGTCTCCCGACACGTGACTATGTTTAATTGTTACTCCCAGCTCATTCCTCTCATGACTATAATTTTAAAATACAGTGGAACCTCTCATAACGAGCACCTCTCATAACGAGTAATTCGCATAACGAGCAAAAAAAAAATGTGAAGAAGTTGCTCCCTTAACGAGCGATATTTCGCATAACGAGTTACGCAGAAAGGGGAAGTCCCTTTTTCTTGACATTCATTTGTGAGCCGGGGCTTCCGCGCCGATGCATTAGTCCAGCGGTTCTCAATCTGTGGGTCGTGACCCCTTTGGGGGGTAGCGCGGCCCTTTCCCAGGGGTCGCCTTAGACTATCTGAAAACACATATTCTTACAGCTATGAAGTAGCAACGAAAATAATTAGGTTGCTGGGGGTCGCAAAGACACGAGAAACTGTATTAAAGGGTCGCGGCACTAGGAAGGTTGAGAACCATTGCATTAGTCTGTGTTTAGCACTCGGTCTGTTAGCGTATTGTTTTCGTGTGTGATCACCAGTTTTTACAAATTTTGTATTCAGACAGTATTCGTAATTTTTTTATGTGCAAAGTGTAATAACCTAAGCTAAAATGTCTTCGAAAAAAACAAAAAAAACAACACAAGAAGCCAATTATAAAATAGAAAAAAATAACTGCTGAAATGAAACGTAAAATCGTTGAAAAGCGAGATCAAGGTGTGAGCGTGGCTATTCGTGCTACAAATTTATTCAATGAAAAAAAAAGTTTTTCGTAAAAGTTGTCCGTATTTTTTAAAATCATTTATTTGTATGTGTGAAGATTTTGAATATTCGTCCGTACATTTTTTTAGTTGGTAATTCTGACTGTTAGGGAGTCAGGGGCGTAGCTAGAAAGTGTGAGTGTGTGTGTGTGTGTGTGGGGGGGGGGTTAATTCTTTTTATTTCTTTTCAATTGTATGTATAGGTAGGATATTATGTAAATTTAATTTATAATTATTTTAATATTTTTGTTGTTGTACGTTTGAATTTGTTTATTGTGTAATCATAATTAAAGCTTAACATATGTTGTTTTATTTACACAAGTTGTTTGTGTCTCATTTAACTAAGGGGGAGAAGAGGGGGGAAACTAATGGGGCGCAGAATGGGCGTTGGTAGTATTTGGTTGATGACAATATTGGATTTCAGAGTTGAGGAGGTGTAAAATGAGTCTTGTCTGGGGTAGGCACTCTAGCTACACCCGTGCCGAGAGCCGAAGTTCAAATGAGGTCACATTTTTAAGTCTAACTAACGAGAGAGTATTCAAAAATGGAAAAAAGTTATGTTCGGGCCAATAATTTAACAAAAGGCTGGAGTACACCACACATACAAAATATTTGAAATTCTCTTGTGGATCCGCAATTTTTAAAACTATTTTTTGTCTATGCAATTAGGCAAGGATGGGAAACTCTTAATAAACTTAATACCTGTACTGGCACGCCAAATAATGGAAAACAAAATATACCCATATTTCTCACTTTCACATTCTTATTTAGAAAAAAAAAAACATTCATTTTTTTTTTTTTACAGAAAATCTCCGTTTTAATTTCGAACAATCTTCCATTTGAACTGTCCCTACGAGAAAAGTTCCTTCGCACAAGTTGGTTTTGAGCAAAATTTGTGCTTTCTACTTTCCGGTAACCATTGCCAACTTACATGAGCTACAGCAAAGAATGCGCAAAACTATATATTGGCTCGTCCTCGCCAATCGATTTCTATGTCCCTTGTCCCTTTTAAAATAAAAAAAATGTTGTCATGCTTCAGCTCTCTTTCTAATGAGCAAATGTGCTAATGTAACACAACTGTCCCGAGCAGTATAGAGAATTTATTCGCAACTGTTAGTCTCCCGTTAACATAATAACTAACTCTAAGTTTTAAGACATTAAAAATAAAATAATTATTATTATAAACTGAAATTGTCTAGACTTACCTCTTGTTGTTTATGGCACATCCGATGTCTCCTGGCATACAATTCAGTTTCATTGCCTATCCAAAAAAAAAATCAAAAAATCTAGGCTATTGTTTTCACATTTTAAAAAAAATTAGATCATTCAACCACAATCTGGCAATTGTGTGACATTGTACCTAGGTTCACGCCTTTTGTTCTAGTGTTGGATCAGTGTGGACTACGATGGTAGGCCATATGTGTTTTTAACCCCGGTGACTTATTTATTTTTAAATCCAGTACTTTGACCTAACGCCGGTGTAACGACATAAGTAGGGAAGCCCCAAGAGCCATGCTTTTATTGGCAGAGATTTCGCAGGTGACGATGGCAGCAACAATAGTCAATTTTATTTGTCACAGGCCTTGCTTGTGCACTTGGCTTGGGAATTGGAGGGTTTGCCGTTCGTGATTGACTTCCCAGTGACGTCGAACAGTTCACCACAGTTTGCGACCTCTCGAGGCGGAGACCTACATTCGGCCCTTGGCAGATGTGCGCTTGGGCTAGTAAACACAGTGTGTCTTGAGATTTGCGGTGGAGAAAACAATAAACAAAGAGAGGAAAAGATTCATGCTAGTGTTTATTGAGAAAATAGTTATTGCACACAAACTGCCCGTAAGGTCAACAGCATACTGTAGTAACCTGGGGATCATTGGTGGGGTCTTATTATAAATAGTACAGAGGACCAAAAAAAAAAAAAAATGGAGGATCTGGCGTCTGGTGGAATTACACAATAGGCCTATAGTGTTAGTCAGTAGGTGTTAACATGACCTCATGTCATGTCCAAGGTGTTGCGTTTGGTGTGTTAAGTTGACACATAGCCAAACAATAAGATGCTCTAAATTGTTCATAACATATCAATTTAATGTCTACCGTCATTTTACAATACGTCACTTCCATCGGCGTAGAAAGGGCGATGTCATATTATTCATCCTCATGCACTGTAACTTTAAAATCCATCCCATTGGCTTATTATAATAACTTCAACAGTAGGCCTAAGCTCTGGGGGCAAAGCTTTCATGTTAATCATAATCTGCACGGCCCTGTATCGAAACATTTCCTTTTTGCCCCGAGGGAAGGTGGTGACATGAAGTAGCGTACCCAGTGGCGTAGCTAGGGTTGGTGTCACCCGGTGCGGTAAACTCATGGTGCCACCCCCAACCCGGACTTCCAATATGGATTTCTTCTTGTTAAAATAAGTTTACAATATAATAGGAAAGTCATTTGCGTGTGGCAGGGTGGGGCATTCGTCCCCTCCCTGAATTTACAGGTTTTATTTAAATTGTTATGTACTGTGGCGCCTCCAGTAATAAAAAACTTAACAAGCCGACCAAGTTTTCGTTTTGCCCCCCCCCCCTGAAAAAAAACCTGAAATAACGCCCCTGAGTATAACAATAACAAATACAGATTGCCTGAAGGTCAGGAGTTAAATGTATTTAAGAACTTTAACAACATTAAGTTATAGTTATTTTTACATTAAATTTACTTTATTCTTCAAAGCTTCAAACCCGTCAATCACTTGATCAAAATATTAATTACCAACTTGATCAAATTATTAATTACCCGACCACATCGTATTTGGTATCAATGGAAAAAAATGAATTGCTCAGAATTTAGATACATATAGTTTCCTGTGACTTGCGAAAGAACATTACAATCGGCGTTGAATCATGGTCAAACCGGTATTTTTCTGACCTAATTATAGGGCCATCTCATTTCTGACACATCAACCTGAACTTTTAATAAAGCACGTATTTGGATCGGTTGTATGTGTGGAATATTGACGTGTGATTGTTATCCTTTTTATGAAATTTGATTAGACCGAGAAGTGTGTACTCTGTAAATATATATGTAATTTTTCAAATTGGTGTCACCCCTAAAATGGTGTCACCCGGTGCGGTCCGCACCGCCTAGCCACGCCTTTGAGCGTGCCTACGGCTAGTGCAACCCGTCGCGGGCCAAGATCCCCGCCCCCCCCCCAAGCAACCCACGAAATAACTCTGTAATCTGCAGATAATGCAACCACTCAATATTTAGAACAAAGGTCGCCCCACCTGCACCCCTTTCCTACGCTACAGACCAATGTCATTTTTACTTGCATTTTTTTTCGTAACGTTTACCATTACGTCATCAACAAGTACTTAATTTGAAATAACACTACACTTCTTGATAATTATGCAATCAGTCGGTAATATGCATTTTTATTTTGTGAAGCTGTGAAATGTAGCTTGAGCATGAGTAGGTTCATTTAAAGGAACTTGCTCTCCAAGCCAAAGTCATTTTCTGCGTGATTCACCGATATCCTTTTGGATTTCCATCTCCTGTCCTATGTAGGTGAGAGAGAGAGAGAGAGAGAGAGAGAGAGAGAGAGAGGGAGAGAGAGTGAGAGAGAGTGGTGGTAGGAGAACATCCATATAGTATATACACAAAAAATTCAAATTTACGACCCCCCTTCCCCCGGTTGTACGCGTACTTTCTGAACTCCCACTCCCTATGCGTGCGTGCAGGGAACTTTTAACCCCCCCCCCACACTAAAAAAAATATATATATATATATATATATTATATATATATAATTATGACGTCACTGNGTTGCCACGTCATAACTGTAGAGTATTTGTGTTTTCTGATGGTCTTAGGCGACCCCTGGGAAAGGGTCGTGCGACCCCCCAAAGGGGTCGCGACCCACAGGTTGAGAACCGCTGCCCTAGAGTGAAGCATTGCCCTCGGGCAGACCATAGGAAAGAGGGCGCAAAACTAATCTTAATATAGAAACTTAATTAATAATAGCGATTGAAACTATCAAATATCATATCCCTCACAAAAGACAAGCTTGCTTAAACATTATTTCAAAGTAAGGTGAATATTAACGACCTCTTTTTATTCCAAATAAAAATTTTAAAAATATTGCTCGCCTAAACACATAATATTTTTTACTCTCGTTAAATAAAAAAATTAGTGCAACCAATTTTTTATTTATTGTGAGGGGGTGGGGCGCAGGGCATCCCTCAGCGCGAAAATCGGGTGCCAATACATAAACTGAATCCTTCCCGGTTATGGGGCGCCCTAAGATATTCTTTTCGTCCCAACTGAGTCCCCCCCCCCCCGTACCGGCATAGGGTCTGTGGCAGTAATGCAGTAATAAAGGACATCAAAGACTCACAAGTGAATGTGGATGGTGGGAGAGGTCTGGGTAGGGGTTCAACGAGCCCTTTTTTCATTTAGTTTTGCATCATTCTGCACTTAATGGGAGAGCAAACGAATTTGGTGTGTCTTTTGACCTGGTTGTGTTTATGCAAATACTAGCCTATATCTTAAGTTGTTACTAAATAATGTTGCTTTTTATAATATATATATATATATATATATATATATATATTATCCATTTGTTACTTTGAAGCATTTTCATATTTAAATTAGGCCCTATACTGCCTATACTAAATGGATTTTATTTTCACGTATTCAAAAGTACGCATCTCGGATTTTTCTCTGAATAGTTTCAGATTACGGTAAAAGGGTTTGCCCAATTCACGTACACTGACGACAGAAGCAACTCGGAGTTTACAATTGCGAGAGCAATAGACGTCCAAGTAAGGTGGCTGTAACAAATAATTCTTAATTTGACATTCTAAATAATCTAAATTACATTAATTTATCAACAATCTACACTCGCTTTGGTAAACTTCTGCATCGGCTATTCCAAAATCGTGTTTTTATATTTACGGGTCTAAAAAGCTAGTTAGCCTAGTTGCCTAGTTTAAGTCTAAGTTAATTAACGTTTTTTATGATTATAATTATTTCTTTACTTTAATTAAATGAAAATAAAATGACTACTTTAATTGATGATAAAAAGAACTGAACAGAGTTGGAGTTTATCCCCAGGATAACGGTTAAAATGCAGTTCAGGTGCGTATATTATTTCCGATCGAATTTCGTCTTCGTATTATCGCGCTTAAAAGTACGTGTATTCTTTATAAAATTTAGTCCAGACAGTTTAAGTTAGCTCTAACACTAAATTTTACAGCACTAACTTTCCATTTTATTGATTTTTATAGCCCCATTGGTACATAGCCGATAGCTTAAACGATCTCTCCATTTTGTTTGTTTTTTTATTATTCACCCTACATGCCAGATTGCAATTTTCAATTTCCCCATACATGCCAGATTGCAATTTTTCAACTGAAGGATGTTCACCAAGAACTAAACAAGAAAGTAGATTTATATTAAATTATAACTAATTATTTATTGATGCTTAAATTTTCAAACTAAAAAGCGTTTTCACAAAAACGAAACAAGACATTAAATTTATATTAAATTATATTACAATTTTCATTAAATTTAGCAAAAATAAACAGTTATTACATCAGACATATTATTATATCATGCAGTTGGAGAATGTACATTTTGGAGACCGTAAATGAAACAACAGTTATCATATCATAAATATTGAAGTACATAAATATTAAAGAACATAAATAAAACAACAGTTATTAAATCATAAATATTGAAGCACGCAAATAAAACAACAGTTATTATGTCAGAAATGTTGAAGAACATAAATAAAACAGTTATTATATCAGAAATATAACATGCCGTTGGAGAAGGTAAATTAAACAACAGTTATTGTATCAGACATACATACATCATGTTGTTGGAGAGCGTAAATAAAACAAGTCATATCAGAAATATATCATTATCATTAATAATCATATCATTGGAGGTATTTATATTAATTCATAATAAATCATTCATTGATTTTTAAAGTAAATAAAACAAAAGATTTTTTTTTATTTTCAAACTGGATAATTATCTGTGATGATCCTTAAGAATGTCACAAACATATCCTGATCGCGGAACTTGTTTCGGAACACAAATTCGTGTAGGTAAGACTGGAACAATTCACGGGATGTTCCAAATTGACGGCGAAGTTTGCGTTTCGCTCGCATCCACATATTTTCCACGTGTTGGGTATGAACATTGTTATCGGCTGGATCGACGAAGTTCCGTTGATGGACGATAACATCGTGCATATATATACCATTGGCGATGCGGTCAATATGTGCATATGCCGCCCAGCCATCAGACATAATATGTGTACCTGGGAGAATATATTGTTCAATCAACGGCTCCAGTGTAGCAGCTG